AAATACACATAAAAGTTATTTCGATGACCCTAAGAAAAAATGCCATTCTTTGAAGGGATATTTACTTAATGGCTACCGTTTCGCGGCGCCGTTTTAATGCTCATAATTAGGGTATCGTTACAGAAACCAATTTATGTTTTACGAGTAGGTAATTGCTTAGAATAAAGGGTTGTACTCTTTGATACGACTAAGGGAGATTATTTTAAAGGAATTTTATTTAATAAAAGAATAAAAGGTTTCTAATTGGAAACACATTAGGACAAATAGAGCAAACGCTATAAGATGGAATCAAATATTCAGCGTAAAGGAATAGGGCAATGCATTGTGGTTTTGTGTATGTTTGTTTGTTAGTTTGTTTTTTTTGTGATGAATATGAATAAATAAATAATAATAAATACTTATATAATAAATGGAAGGAATATATTTCAGTTAATATTCTTATAATAATGAAACAAAGAAATATCTTTGTTTGGACGCGCTAATCTCTGATACTACCAGTCGGTATTTTAAAATTATTTTTGCATTTGATAACTTATTTTTTGAGAAAGATGTCGACAATTTAATAACAAGATACAACTATGAGCAAAGCCGCAGAATGGAGTTAGTTATTAATAATTAACTGTTTAGTTTTCTTGCATATTTTTCTCGACAAATAATTTTCGAAACTACAATAGAGTTAGAAAAAAAACGACGTAAGAGCTTTTGTATAAATTCTATTGTATAATTGTTAAAATAAATAAATAAATATAAACCTACTTCAAAAAAGTGTAATTTTTTATTTATTAAAACAATACACAAATTGTTCTTAATTGGAAATGATTGAGAATTCAATTAAGTTGTAATAACGGGAAAAAAGGATAAAATAAAATAAATAAATAGAAAGAAAATAATAGGAAAATTCGCTCTCTTGCTCTAATTTCACCTTACATTTACAAAATAGAGGAAAATAACAAAAATATAGGAGACAAAAAAAAATTGTACGTTTGAAATATTTTTCCATTACGGATTTGCCCCTACCACCATTATGTTAACCGTGTACTGTTCACTATTGAATATAGGCCTCTTTCAAAAATTGGGGGGATTTTGCCAGTAGTTGCCACGTTTGGCAGGCGGATTGACAATCACAGTTGGGCAACCCACGGGAAAGGAAGGGGCTAGCTTATTCTACACCGGAACCACATATACATATATGTAATTGTATGTATGTATATATGTATATATCGATAACATATAGGATATTTTTTACTTAATTCATGTGAACAAAGCCGCGAGTTTTAGCAAGTATATGGGTAAAAAAAATTTAATATTATCACTGTACTAACAGCCATGTACACACCCTTGCTTTCCAGCGATAACTACAGACAATTTGTTTGATTACGCATCATAAGAGCCCCTACGCCTTTATGGGAGCCTGGTACTTCGTTTTGATGAGACTTAAAATAATTAAACTTGAATAATAAAAAATGTCCTATAAAACCTGTATAGAAAGAGAGAGAGACAGAAATAGTTATTAATTACGCTTTACTTAATTACAAATAATTTATTTAAAAATTAATTTTTTTATACATAAATGAAAGAGAGGACAAAGCATTTATATGTACATTTTATTTTTAAAATAGGATTAATAACAGGCACGTACTGTAATGTTAAAATTTTAGTTTTTTTTTTCTAAATAGAAATATATTTGGATACTTTTTTTTTATACAACTTAGAATGGCAAACAAGCTGACGACCCACCTGATGGAAAGTGGTAACCGTCGCCTATAGACATGAGCAGTACCATGGATATAACAAAGTATACTGTTTCGCCCATGATACCCCCCATGCGTTGCCATTCCTGAGGACTCGGTGTTATTCCTCTGTACCCTGTAATTTCAACCCACCCTTCAAACCGAAACACAGTCATGCAAACACAACTGCTTCACGATAGAAACTCGAATGGGACAAATACTTACTCCTTCTGGTATACTGATAAAATAGTTTGTAAATTCACATACGTACACACATTTTGAACGTGTGTATGTTTGAACACGTGCGATTCAATACCGTATAATTTATATGTTAATTTCCTTTTGTATAAAAATATGTCAATGTCTAACTACACTGTTTTGGAACTCTGTCGTAAGAAACTTGAATTATATTATACATTTAGAGGGAGACTTTGTACAAAAGTCGATTGCTTGGGTACCTCTGTCCCACTCGTGTTTCAACCGTGAAGCAGTTGTGTTTGCATGACTGTGTTTCGGTTTGAAGGGTGGGATATGGCGTGAATTTACTGGGTACAGAGGAATAACATCTGAGTCCTCAGGAATGGCAACGCATGGGTGGTATGATGGGCGAAACAGTATACTCTGTTATGTCCATGGTACTGCTCATGTCTATAGGCGACGGTTACCACTTTCCATCAGGTGGGCCGTCAGCTTGTTTGCCATTCTAAGTTGTATAAAAAAAAAAAAACATTCTATTAATGATTAATGAATTTTTTTTTGTACTATTTTGTAAAATTAAATGAATCTATTTGCATTTAAATAGCGAAATAGATGCAATTAATAGTCATGTGGACTTTTTAGCTGTTATTTTGTCTTGTACTTGTACATAAGTAGACATAAATAAATTAATTTGTTAATTAATTTTGAATTAAAAAAAAAGAAATAAAAGCATCATCTTGGTCTATATAAAATTAATTTAAATTCATATAATGTTCAGAATAATTAAAACGATAAGTGGCTACTTCGTAGTAGAAATGGCATAAACCCCAAAGTATGAAAATTTACAGAACAATCAAGAAACGTGTGTTATAAATGTTTTGGCTGATAACTTTTTTTGGTTATAGACTTATAATTTTGTGAAATTGTTAAAAATGTTCGTATTTAAATAAACTTTAAAGTTAATGGAAATCAAGTTCGACTAAAATTTACATTTTAACTGCGAACCTTCTTTCTTAAATTGGTAATTTTTTAAATTTCACATATTTGCATAAAATACCAGCAGAATTGAACACATACAAATAAAAACACACACACAAACACACACACACACACACACACACACAGAGAGAGAGAGAGAGAGAGAGAAAGAGAGAGAGAGAGGATCCTTATTAATCCTTATAGGGCCAATGATTACTAAAAGACGTACTCAAAATAAAATCAGATAAATCGAGATTCTCATTCTTTTGGAAAATTCATTAGAAAGCCCCGCTGTTACTAGTGAGGGCAATAGATGACAATTGGGACACAAAGGTCTTGGCACCCTAATGCCCTTGAAGTGTTGGTATTTGGGTCACATCCCTATTGAACGACGCTGCATAGTTGCAAGTGCATTCTCTAACCATCGTAAATACATTATGGGTGTTCGTACAATAGGCATTTACTTTTGTTGACTCGAGAATAAAATAAACAATAGGTTTACGTAAAATTGTAAAATAAATACAACATTGAAGCGACACTAATACTAATAGAACACTGAGCGATTGAACTAAACTTGTTTTTTTTTTCAATCGATTTAAAAATTCACAGAGTTTTTAATACGATAGGTTGTATATATTTATTTATTTATGTATACGAATTATGAATCAATCTTGAATATTTTTTTAATGAGAACGGTTTACTCTCGTGAATTACTCGTTTTATTCGTATAGTATTTAGTTGGGATTTAGGAAGTCTTTTTTTTTATACAACTTAGAATGGCAAACAAGCTGACGGCCCACCTGATGGAAAGTGGTAACCGTCACCTATAGACATGAGCAGTACCGTGAACATAACAGAGTATACTGTTTCGCCCATGATACCCCCTATGCGTTGCCATTCCTGAGGACTCAGGTGTTATTCCTCTGTACCTAGCAAATTCACGCCATATCCCACCCTTCAAACTGAAACACAGCCATGCAAACACAACTGCTTCACGGTTGAAATACGAATGAGACAGAGGTACCCAAGCAATCGACTCAAGCAAAGTTTGTTTTTTAATTCCTAATTGTAATTTATTTATTTTCATATTCCAGATATTTAAAACATCTGACGTATTCTTATTTGTACCTTTGCTTACAATATTATAAAGTACATACTAAAGCACTTGCCAACGGTATGTACGTACAGTTTTATTCCAGATTGTATGCGGCATTGTCTAGCATGTGCTGTGAGTTCGGAATCTCCGCTAATGGGTTTTCGTGGTCACTGTTACCGCTCGCGGCGAATCTTTCTAAACCGGCGAACTATTTATATAAATCCTATTAATGTAAAAGTTTGTGAAGATTATAGGTATTTTAAACATGCTTTTAAATAGATTTATCCATTTAAATCTATAATAATATATTAATATAAAATCGCTTGTGTGCATAGAATATGCATAGAGTGCATAGCTTCCTTTCCCGTATAAGTCGTAAGAGGCGAAAATTAATTAAATTTAATTAAAATTTAATTCAATATTCGTATTTAAATATTATTGTTGGACATCAGCATATTGTCCTACGATTGAATCATTTATTTGTTTATTTATATTTTTATAAATTTCTCTTGAAATAAGTCTTATCGCCCTGCAAAGTTATCATTCCATCTAGTGACAGGTCATCCTACACTTATAAGATATTTAAGTGTAGGATGTATTTAATACATTTACATTACATGCAGTAATTAAATACATATATAAGTTCACTCTTGTGCAACCTGCCCACTTTTATATGTTCTTCTTCAACCAAAGGTTGTCTGTAAGAGATTGCTTTATCGATAAGACCGCCCTTTGTACCTTTATTTATGTGTGTTTTTTTTTATCTGTACTTTATGCTATTGTATTTCACTTGAATTTTCTTAGACATTTGTTAGTTTTGTAATTTTTGGTCAATTATTATTGGTTATTTTGTTACTTCATACTTTTTCTGTTTTATTGTAAAGTTGTTTTATAATATTTTCTTCTTTATTCTATAACAATATGAAAGACAAGTGTAACAGACATGTATGTATGCTATAAAAATATGTTTAAATTAGTTTTTTTTTTTTTGCCCACAGCAACAACGTTGTGTGAAGGTGCCCGCGATGCTAGCTGCCCAAGAATTTGCGGGCCGTCCCTGCAAGGCGAGCCCGTCTGCGCCACTGACGGCTATATCTACCCTTCGCTTTGCGAGATGAGGAAAAAGACATGTGGAAAAGGTAATTTTCTCTTTTTAGTCTTGCAAGAGTTAACCACAAAGGTTTGCAAAGTGAACCGCATGAAAATTGACCTGATAGGGTATAAAAGGCAATGAGACTTGGGAAGGGGGGAAGGGATTGTTGGTAATGGAGATTAAGGGCCCTATTCCTAGCAATGTACCCAACCAGGTCTACTTCCCAGTGGACCTCCCTGGAAATCGTCATGCTGAATTCCATATGTATCATCTATTCATTAAAAAAATTACAATGGAACTATTAGACTTGATTACTAACAATCCCTCCCCCCACCCCTTCCTGAGTTCCATGCCTCCGTACGCTTCTACTGTCTTATCCCGTTCGAATCAAAGTTGTTCTTGCCGAGTTTTTGGCAAGTTGTGGTATTAACCGGTGTTTTAACGTAATCAAAAGCTTTTATATATTATGAAAGCAGCTTAAAAACTCTCGTCACTGAAAAGTAGATACTCGTAGATAGATATATATTTTATTTACATTATTTACAGCACAGAAATAACAACAGACATACATAGACATACACAAAAAATGACATGTACAAAAATAAAAGAAAATACTTAAAAGAAATAACATATTTTTTACCAGAGGGAGATTTTGTACAAAAGTCGATTGCTTAGGTACCTCTGTCCCATTCGTGTTTCTACCGTAAAGCAGTTGTGTTTGCATGGCTGTGTTTTGGTTTTAAGGGTGGGATATGGCGTGAATTTAAAGGGTACAGAGGAATAACACCTGAGTCCTCAGGAATGGCAACGCATTAGGGGTATTATGGGCGAAACAGTATACTCTGTTATGTCCATGGTATTGCTCATGTCTATAGGCGACGATTATCACTTTCCTTCAGGTGGGCCGTCAGTTTGTTTGCCATTCTAAGTTGTATAAAAAAAACCTTTCATGCGTGTGCCATAGCGATACAAAATGGCCACAACTCAGCTTATTGCTTTGCCCTCAAAAGAGCAAAACACTGATATTCTGTTGTGGCCAAAAGTGCTATCCTCACACGAGTACTAATACTGATAGTGTCAACGATTTATTATCTTTTCCAGGTGTAAGACTAGCTCCCGACCAGGGTTCCTGCTCCAGAGCCCAAGGATCGAAATGCGAACATAGGTGTACTTCAGAACGGGATCCTGTCTGTGGCACCAATGGACGAACCTATCTGAATAGATGCATGCTGCAAGTTGAGATTTGCAGGTATGAAGTGACTTGAACACATTCTCAATCGACTTCAAAAACAAGGAGGTTCTTAATTCGATCGAATTTTTTTACGTTTGTTACTTTATAACTCCGTCAGTTGATTACCGATATGGAAAATTCTTTTTTTTTTTATCTGAAAAGATATACTTAAGGTTGAGAAGATTGCTCTCAGCAATAAGACCGCCTTACTGTACCTATACAACTGTATCGTTACCATTATTTTCTTGCTTATTTCCTACATTGTACAAAGCAAATAAAGTATACTCATTCATTCATTCATTCATTCATATACTTACAGTAAAAAAATATATATATAAAATGCAATAAACCAACCAGATCAGTTGAATTGGTTGAAACTTATTATATGTATTAATTTTCGACAATTCCGTCTACTCATACCAAGCCGGGTTGGATCGCTAGTTTAAAATAAATCTTGACTATAATGATGTACGACTTACAAGAAACAGGACTAATTGCATTATAAGTGAATAACTCCTCTATTTACACAATCTTGATACTCGGTATAGACAACAATGTTACAACACAACAAATCTTAATACATGTTTTTAGTTCTGTTGTGCAACTTGTTCAGATTCTGTTGTGTATGTTTTATTGTACATAATTACAGAGTCGGCATTGGTCTATCACATTTGGGTGCTTGCAACAACATCAGCGCGCATCGAGAGAATTGTCCAGTGGATTGCTCACAGGCGCCTCTCGATGGGCCCATATGTGGCTCCGACGGCAACGTCTACAAAAGCACGTGTCAGATGAAGCTGTTGACTTGCGGGTAAGTTCTTGGTATTTTATGTTATCCTGGTACTATGGTTTATATGTTTTGAATTTCTGGACACATTTTTTTTTTCTTTTTTTATATTAATAATAGCGGCAAACGGCTTCATATGATAAGAAACTTGTAAGAGGATAAAGTTGTTAAGTTATGGTTTAGTTCTTTCTAGTTTATGTTATCCCAGTACTAAGGTATTTAAGATTTAAATTTTAAGACACATTTTTATTTTCTTTTTAATCGAAGAAAATATAATAAAATAAACTACAAAAAACTTCGCGATACTATGTATAGTCACAATAACCACTTTAAATGTTGTAAAAATGTCCAATACAAACGGCTCCATTAGATAAGAAACTGGTAAGAGCATCAAGTTATTGAATTACGGTTTTGTTCATTATTATTTATGTTATCCTGGTACTAAGATGTTTAAGCTTTGCATTTTTAGACATAACTTTTTCTTTCTTAAATAGGATTATCACCATACTAGGATTAATACCATATCTTTAAATAGTAATTCGCATACCTTAAAAATACCATAGGCTTAGTATAACGTACTACGTAAAATACTAATAGGATTAGGATCGTTATTATTGTTCTCAGAGAATTAATACTTTAGGAGCATAAAATGTGTAGGTATGGTATATTCTGGAGTTTCGAAAATATACAATCTTGTAAATTGGTGCAAAACTTTTTGCATAGATATGTTATGGAAATTTTTGTATTTTAATTGAAAGAGAGTTAGTTTCAGATATTCAGATAAAATATCTTTTTATTAATTGTCTATGTAACTTAGAATGGTAAACAAACTGATGGCCCACCTAATAGAAAGTGATGCCATGCCTATAAACATGGAAATAACAGAGTGTACTGTTTAGCCTATGACACCCCTCATCCGTCGCCATTCCTGAGAACTCTTTAGTCTTGTTATACCTATATATCTGTAATTTCTTTGCACTATCCCATATCCTTTCAAACCGAAATACAGCTATGCAATCACAACTTTTCCACGAAGAAACACGAATGGGATAGAGATACTCAAGTAAACCACTATTGTATAAAGTCTCCATCTGGAATATCTAATCCTATCTCTAAGATCATAGTCATCAGAAACTGCCAAGCAGTCACTGCCAGTAGTTTGCAAGCATAAGTTGATTTCTTAGCATAATAATAGTGTTACCAAATGATTTTTCAGACAAGGCGTCGTACGTACTAGTAAGAAACATTGCCAGACAACCCGTCACTGCCGCGAGTCGTGCTGGCGTGTGGCGAGGCCCACATGCGGTTCAGATGGGAAGCTGTACGCGAACGCATGCAGGATGAAGGCTACTAATTGCGGGTATGTGCATTTGTGTTTGTTGTGGTAAGATTAGAAACAGTATGTTGGGATATTAGGTATTTATGTTTTGTAAAAGATGGAAATGAAGGCAATCTTTTAGGTAAACCATGCCATGCAATGCTTTAACTAAAACGTAGCGATTACTTTTTCAGTGTCATTAATTTCACCTTAGCCCTTTATAACTTATAGATATTATATATAGATACTGTTCAAACATATGTCATATGATATATAAAAAAGTCATTCAAATTTTGACTGCACATTGATCAATGAGATCCTTTCTACATTTCAACCGCCTTCGAAATAAAGTAGGATCTCTATTCGGTTATATGTTTTTAAGTTTGTTACATCAAAACTCCATCAGTAGTAAACGGAATAATTTTTTTTTCATCTGATATGACTAGTTTTTACCCATGTATTTGTCTACGTGACCGTTGAACGGAATGAAATGCGTATATAAAGGCATACATTTCTCAATCTCAAATACAACGTGCATGCTATAATTTACGACTTACGATTAGACCATTGGAATGCCAAAAAACATATCTTCAAAGTTCATGTTTCTGTTTATATTTTGACTGTGACTATCTGTCATCTTTCCTTGGCTACCGTAAATATTAAAAGTAAATAATTATATTTAAAGTCATTAAAAAGTAATTCAATGATAACTAAATACAATTTCAAATAATTTTTATTCGTATAGACAAATTTTTTTGTAAATTTACTGCTGGGTTCGGAATATTGTTATCTGTTGAGAAGATCCCGCAAGGAACTTAACAGTTACTCTTTTAAATCTCTGTTAACATTATGTGTATTTATTTAAATGTACTATGTCTAAAATTACATGGTCAATATATTAGAATAATGTTGACTTTTTTGTAAAACAGAAAACACGTGTTTGAAGTGCCAATGGCGTTCTGCGTGTCTCAAGAGCGGACCTCTGGCGGTGAATCGTGTCCTACCGATTGTTCTGGACAGAAGGAGAAATTAGTTTGCGGATCAGATGAGAATATATATAGAAACGAATGCGAGATGAAAATGCTGAATTGTGGGTGCGTATTTTTATAATTAGATATGCGGTCAAACTAAACAAAAGAAACAAAAGAAAGAAGAAAAAATTAGAAACAATGAAGTATGTATAAAAAACAAATGTAAAGAATGAATGTTTGTGTTAATAAGTTGACTCTGACCTGACGTGACTCTGCTTAATTCTGCCATAAGTTGTTGTGTAGATTTATTTAGAAAAATATTCAAACTCTTAAAGTATTATTAGATAAAGTTATCATGGTTGATATTTCGGTTTGAAAGGTAGGATCTGGTAGTGAAATTATCGTATACGAAGACATAAAACCCCATAAAGTCTTTAAGAATATGTCTATAGGTTACTTTTCATCAGGTAGTCCACCTGTTAGTATTTGCAAGCTGTTTATTATTCCAAGATATAGAAAAAAATTTAACCCATAAAATATGATACAATTCTATTAGATTCAAAGTATTAAATCTCTTCATAATCCTCAGTTATTTACATTCATACATTTTGAACAACAAATCGTGATTGTTGCATCATCTTGTGGAAGGCTTTGAATTAGCTGGTATGGAATCACTGATACAATCTTCCTAATGAGTATTAATAAAACTTATGTCAGTAAATATATTAAAGTTAATAAAATAAACGTCGTTTACTTAATTTCAGTGTCAGCAGCAGAAAAATTGTGAAAAAGGTCGACATGGAGAAGTGCCGAGCCAAAATGAACAAATGCCTGAAGGTCAAGTGCCCCAGCGAACCTGACCCTGTTTGCGGCACTGATGCCAATGTTTACACAAACTCCTGCCATCTTAAAGTCGCCACTTGTCTGTAAGTTGAATAAGTAGATTTACCTCTGTAACGAAAAATAAAGTTATAATTGTGACATAAATTATATTTACTAGTAATCCACTGGCTCTTATTAATTGTCCATTAATGAAGCACTGAAGTTCTATAATTATACTACTAACGCCATCTGTTGGTATACTATATGAGTCAGATATGTTTAAATTTATTGGTAAAGTCCGCCATATATGGAAGGATTTATCGCTTTGATTAATCGAAACTATAAATATATTGATATTTTTTATATAAAAATGTATACAACATTACCACACATGTACGATTTATTATTCAAATTTAAGGGTCGAACTTATAAAGGATTGTCACGATAATCGTTCCAAGTTCCATATTCAAGCTTTAGGTAGAAATCTTATTTAGAATTCTCTTTTTTTGATATTCTGATTTAACGTTGTTGGAAAATAATTACTCTAAAGTTTAACTACATATTTTTTTTACAGTAAAGGAGTTCAATTAGCGCATTTCGGTAACTGCACGTTGCTTCCGCGTCTAGAGATTGACTGTCAAGAGAACTGTGATAATGCTGTGGAACAACCGGTTTGCGGATCTGATGGGAATGTTTATAAGTATGTATTTCTCAAATTTAATACTGTTGTATCTATTTTTTTTAATGGGGTGTAAATGCAATGGTAACTGCGCTTGTATCCATATGTATTTATGGTCCCCATCGGTATCCACTAACGGGCCACCAGGAAGGATAATAGATGAGAATTAAACGATATTAGGTAATCCATCGTAGCGAATTCACTAAGTATTAACCATAGTGATAGCTACCATTGCATTATAACATACTCTGTGATGCTTATGGTACTGTTCATGTCTATAGACACCCATTATTATTATTTCAGACATTAACTGTCCACTACTGAACATAAGTCTTCTCCATAAGGAGAATTTTGCCAGTAGTTGCCACACTTGGCGGGCGAGTTGGCAACCGCAGTTAGGCTTTAGAGATGTTTTAAGAGGGACGCTGCTGCCCATCTTTCGCTCTCCCTTAGTCGACTCTTACGACACACACGGGAAAGGAAGGGCTGGCCTAATTAATCTATTCTTTAGGGTTTAATTTTAAATTCTATAGGGTTTAATTACTCCATTGCTAGAAATACACCCTGTTAGGTGGATCTCCGCATAGTTTCTCCTGGAATTCGCTATGATGAGCTAATCTGCATTCATTTTTACCTATCATTCCTCACTGGTACTCCGCCAGCGTATACTGATAGCGTAGATGTGGTCGCCATTCCATTATTAACCAATAAGAAAACGCTTAGAATTATCCAGTAGGTAGACCATCAGCCTATTAGCTTGTTTACCATTACAAGCACTAAATAAAATGTATAGTCTCAATTGAACATAATGAAAAGGCTAAGTTTTGTTGAAATTATTATAGAAACACTGTTTAAATGGAATTAGTAATAAATTAAAACATGCAATCAAGTAATCGATTTTCGATTTGCTCTACCATAGGACATCAGTAGACTGTCTTATGGTCAGGTTTATTATTATTTTTTTATTAAGTTCTTTTGAAACAGTCTATATTTTACTACTGCTTTTGTCTTGTGATTTCTGCATAGTATTCTATGACGGGACTGCACGGAGAAAACAACATCCCTTCCTTTCCTGTGGGTGTCGTAAGAGGCGACTAATGGGACTTAATAGTCGAGAGATAGGTAGCTTCGTCTCTAAAACACCACCAAAGTCTAACTGCGGTTGCCAGCCCATCTCCCGCCAGGCGTGGCAACTACTGGCAAAACTCTCTTTATGGAGGAGACCTATGTCCAGTGATGGATAGTTAACGGCTGATATGATGATGAAGATGATGATACCTCACTGCAAAGCATTTGAGGTTGTCACTCCATCTAGTGACGGTTATCTTATAGTTACAAGATCGTCACTTAAGAACCTTTTCCCCCTATTTATTATTACACTGCTATAACAATATTTTGCTTAAATTGTATCGAAACAAAATGTAGACGTATTTCTTTTTTTATTTTATTTTGGTACAAACAGTCATTAGAAAAAAAAAAAAAACAGTTACGTTTTTTTTTCTTTATAACTAAAACTACTTACTGCGCAGGTCGGAATGTGAGCTCCGTCGACTGACATGCGGTCAGCACGTGGTCGCTGTGTCAGCGGCCCACTGCCGGACTACCGCACTCTGTCACGAGTCCTGCCCCAATACCCCGGCCTTCGTTTGCGGCTCCGACAACAGGTTCTACAAGAACGAGTGTCTGATGAAGAAGGAGAACTGCGGGTTAGTATACTATTATATATTTCTATTTTTATTTTTACATTATCTGTCCGACCCTCTGCATCTGACGGGTATTTTTTGCGCTTATTCGTGCGATTTTTTAAATATTTATTTATTTAATTTTTATTACACGATAAAACTTTATACTAGTGGCGAGCTTCATCAAAATCAATTAATAAAAGTTTTTCTCTTTATATTAATGAGAAAAAAAAATTGACTTTTTATTTGTAATGGATAAACTTCTAAACTACTAAACTGATTTAAAAAAAATCTTACATCTATAAAAAGCTACAATATTAGTGAGTAATTATAAGCTATATATAATTTTCGAAAATTCTATTTGAAACACGAATTCGTGCTGGTCTTTTATAAAATAAATATCTCTTTTGTTCTCCAGAAAACACGTATTTGTGGTGCCGCTGAAACGCTGTCTATCCCGGTTCCAATACTCGGGATGCGCAAGAGTATGCCCCCCTGAGTACGACCCGGTCTGCGGCACTGATGATAAGACATACTCCAACAAATGCTTCCTAGAGATGGAGAACTGTCGATCTAGGTAAGTAACGGCTATATTCTAATAATAAGAGGTAGTAGTAGATTAGGGAGTCGCTGTATAGATTCCAGACATAGGATGGGCCACCCCTTCCTTTCCCGCGGGTATCGTAAAAAGCGGCTAAGAGAGGGCACGGGATGGGCAGCAGCGTCCCTTTTAAAACATTTAGGAATAGGACATATGAGGAGTCACTGGGCGTTACAATGTATTCTGTCATAATGTTTTTTTTTTTATACAACTTAGAATGGCAAACAAGCTGACGGCCCACCTGATGGAAAATGGTAACCGTCGCCTATAGACATGAGCAGTACCATGGACATAACAGAGTACACTGTTTCGCTCATGATACTCCCCATGCGTTGTCATTCCTAAGGACTCAGATGTTATTCCTCTGTACCCTGTAAATTCACGCCATATCAAACCGAAACACAGCCATGCAAACACAACTACTTCACGGTAGAAACACGAAGGGGCAGAGGTACCCAAGCAATCGACATTTGTACAAATCTTTTGTAACACGCATAAAATACAGATGAATTAAGAAATTCCTCCTTTTGAAACTCTTAAAAATATTGTAATTAAACATGTTTTATTATTATTCAACTCTTTTTTGAATTTTTTATTTATTTATTTACACTTTATTGCACCATTTATAAAATAGTATTTAATGAATTTGAATGAGAAATGATACAAAAAGCGGCCTTGTCGCTAAGCAATCTCTTCCAGACAACCTTTGGATACAGGACATTTATTAATTGGTCGATTTTATTTTACAGGAGCCTGGTCCAATTGAAATACTTGGGCACATGCACGGAACCTATAGCGGAGGAGCCGAAAAACTATTTGTATCGATAGACTGTATCGATAGTAATCGAATCATATCGATATATCGCTTAATCGTATCGCGTATGATATACTTCCCAATTTTATTAGTGCCAACCCTTTATGTAAGCTTAAATGTAAATTACAAACTATCCTGACTATGTCTTCCAATTAACTTTATAATGTAAGCACTATTTATTGTATTTATAACAATAATAATATATAATTATTATTAAATTTTGAGAAATTTGGGGTATGAAAGAATTAAAAATAAGAATTAAACAGAAACACGAATTTGAAAATCGAATATAAAGAGGCATTCATATTGTCTATTGAGTAATATGGCCAGTTCATTATACAGTTTCGTTACTTACAATTCGTTATAAATAAATAGTTCATAAGGAGGAAATTAAAATTCATATTTGCAAAATGAAGCAAGATCTAGCACATTCATATTAGTTATAACTTTTCAAGATTTCTGAGCATGTGAATTGTTCCATTTGAGAACTATTTATTTATAAAAGTAAAATTATGTATAGTTGCTATATTCATTTACTATTTTTGCCATGACAATGCAAAAAAAAGAAGTCATAACAAGATGGCGGCTACTCGACCAGAAACAATACAATTAATAAATTGACCACCAAGCATTAAACGCGCGAGAGGCTCGTAAACTGTCATGTGTCACAGATTCGTAGCACAGACATGTATATTAAAGTATAAATATATGGGTTACTGCAAAAAGAAAAACGCTAATTTAAAACACTTAAAAAAATAACGATTCGTCGATATATGAAAAAGCTTTTACAATCGTTTGAGAAATCAATTCGAAAACAAAGGTTGAAATTAAATTGCAATGTTTTATTATTTTAAATTTATATCCTCTAATATATTATGAGTCACTTAAATAATATCTACTTTAATTAATGAAAATGTTTAATTATATAATAATTAATAACACTCAATTTAAAACCTAACTATTAAAAAAAATATTTATTTCCTAATTACGTCATTGTAAAATTATAATTTTTGGTAACTTTAATATAAGATTGTGTATGGATACTCATAATAATTATTTAATCAGTACAAAAACATAATGGCGCCCCAGTCAACACTTTCAAATTTCTTATACATTTACTAACATTTTTCTAGATTAAATTAAGTGATTAATAGACATAATTAATTTATTCTTCTGACTGTTCGCTCATTTTATTTATTATCTGAATTAGTTTAAGAGTTGTAAATAATTAGATAATTGTCATTATATTATTTATTTATTTGTTCTAGATTGATGCATTTAGATAGAAAAGACTTTTTCTTATTTAATTTAATTTTAACTGAGTTTATCTACGTTTCACGAAGGAAGTGACTTTAAATAAATAAATTTAAAAAAATCATCCCTTCCCTCCTGGAAGTCCCCTCCTGAATACAAGCCTCCTCCTTAGAGGGATTTGCCATTAATTGCCACGCTTGGCAGGTGGATTGGCAACCGCAGTTAGGCTTTGGAGATGTTCTAAGAGGGACGCTGCTACCCATCCCTCGCTCTTCTTTAGTTGCCTCTTGCGACACCCACAGAAAGGAAGGGGTGGCCTATTCTATGCCTGGACCACACGGCCTCATGATATTATTGTAATGGTTCAAATTCTTGAGGAATTGAATTTCTTAATTTAAATCTATCAGACTTCCTTTATGAAACGTATAAATATAATCGGTACATACTGAAAGTGTAAAGTCTATGCCACTGAAATGTAGTTATCGAAATAAAAAAATAAATAAAATGTCGCCTTTTTATTTCTGTAACATAATAATTACCCAATGTCAATAAATAAATAAGTCATGTAATTACACAATTTGTCACGACAAGCCAGGCCAATCACATTAAGCGATGACAATTCTCGCCGAGCCACGTTAAGCTACTCCAAACAATGTCAAGCCATGTAAAGCCACGACAAGCTACTCCAATATATAGCATGCCAAGTAAATTATAAAAATTAATTCACAACTTTTACGGGAATTGTATACTCTCCCTAAGGTTCGAATAACTTCAAATAAATATATATATATATGTGTGTGTAAACAAAATAAAAAAAGATTCCAACTAGGTATTAGTGTTTTCTAAATATTAGCATATACAAAATAATTTAATGTTTTAATGTTAGACAGTCGTATAGTAGCTGTTATGTAAAGAGAGTAAATTTAATTACACATAATGATAATGTATCTACAGTTTTGTTTGTATTGATATCAACTAAAATTATAACTGTACTTAATAGTTGACGCAATTAAATCTGAACATAACATGACATAGAATAACATGGAATAATTATTATTTCGCTTATTCTATTATTATTTTAACATATAAAAATTTCGTGACACGATGTTTTTTTCGGCGCTGATCTATGAAACTGCTTTAACGATTTTAATCATCGTCATCATCATTCCAGTCATTTATCTCCCTCATAAACTGCCATAAGGAATGATTCCAAGTCTCCTGTAACCGCCGACTCTGCAATGCATTTCGAGGTCGTCGCTCCATCTAGTGGGGATCATTCTACTCTATTTGTCTGTATGGAGTCCAAATTAAAAAAAATTCTTCCTCATCGGTTATTGTTCCCTCAAAATATGTGACCTGTTCATTGCCAGCTCTCTTATCCTATGTAGGCCACTTTAGTTCTTCTATTGACATCCTAATTTCGGATTCTGTCACACAAATAAACTCCGAGTATATAGCTCGTTAAACAATTCTGTATATGTTTAATTTTAATGAATTTTCATAAACGTTTATTGTTTGATTCAACTTATTAAAGTAGGATAGTTATTGCCCTGAAAAATATGGATGAAAAGTATGGATCCGGTAGGTGGCGGTAGTGGGCAATACAAAAGAAGGTAAAGAAGCCGTGCTTATTGCTTTTAATAAACCTGTTTTTTTTATTTACATAATAATGACAGTTGCGTGTATATAGGATATGATAATTGTTATTATTTATTAGTTTAATAAAAATATGAAATGAAACAAAACATATCAGATATGGTGATAGCTTTTATTTATTAAACATAGTCATTTTGTAGTCACAATAAAGACTGACTACAAAATGACATTTCACTCTTTTTTATGGCTTGGCTTTGGCCCCTCTCTGGCATGGCTAGGCATATAACAGTTGCTGCTGTAAAAGGAGGGTTTGGTTTCGCGCATTTGTTAGGCTTAAGGCGCAAACATAAAGCCGGTCGTATTCTTTAGCCATGACTGACAGACGCGATTTGGGCAGTGTAATTACATTAAATTGTATATACTGACAATCGTTAGCCCAAGATATTACTTTTTTGTGTGCAACTTAGAATGACAAACAAGCTGACGTCCCATTTGATGGAAAGTGGTAACCGTTGTCTGTAGAAATGAGCAGTACCATGGACATAACAGAGTATACTGTTTTGCCCATGATACTTTGGACTTTTTTTTTGATATGTGAAAATGGTATCGTATGGCCTGCGCTAACGGGATACGCTGACGAAGCACCAGTGAAGGGTGATAGATGAGAATAAAAACAGGCCAGTTAGCCCATCATGATGAATTCATCAGGAATTAATCATGATAGTTTCCAGGGAGAACTGCGAAGAGGTCGACCTGGTTGGGTATATTGCTAGCAATGGGATTCTTAGTCTCCATTACTAACAGTCCCTTTCCCCCCAATACTTTGGACTATCCTTGAATGATTGGACATCTGACGACGATCTAGTGTGCTGGATATTTGTACATACACACACACGTATACAACAATTAAAGATAGAGACAGCCGAACTCCGTACACACTCTTCAGTCGTATCCGTCAGTTGTAGCTAATGAACGCTTTCTATAGTATGATTGTGGCTCTACTGACTGGTGGTAGCATCGCGCGGTGTGCTGTAGTAAGAGGAGAATTTGTTTGTTTGTAACATTTTGTAGCAAAGTCTTAATTTATAAAATACAGAGATCTCAAAAAGTTGATCATAATGGCAGTCTTATCATATAAAAGAGATTTCTTCCAGTCGTTGACTTAATACTGAATTATTTCCAACGAAGAGGAAGATTAGTAAAATTACCTGCAATGTATAAAAAAAAAATATAAAAAACTTTTTTATGAGAAAAAAATAGTAATAAATTATTTTTCGATTTTAATGACATATAAATCTACGCTTTCGTCAAAAACAACAACTAATGTTTTCTAATAAAATATAGACAGAAAGTCACATATTTTGAATGTTACTGTAAGACAGTAAGATTTTGTTTTGTAGGGTATTATAATAAATATTCCGTCAAATATTTTTTCAAGTAACACCTAGTAATAAATTGACATTAAAGTGTCATTTTTTTATTTCTATCAGTTGAATTTATCTAAAGATAGTGTGTTAAATTTTATTTATCAAACACTATTCGCGTCATTCCAGTTTGTACAGGCTCAATTTAATTTCACGAAATGCACCTTGTACTTAAATAGACGTACTATAATTGAGAGAGGCGAAATCGTGGTAGACATTGCCATGCGTGCGTACTCGTAGAGATATAAACAATAATAGAAAATGTTTGTAAACATATTGTTTAAGGCTTGAATTTTGAAGTCAATAACAACAGTTTTTAAGTAAACTCATCAAGAAAGCGTATAATGAAGAAATATTACTGCATTTTCGGTGAAGGCAGTAAGATTCATCAAGTGATATGTGCTATTTTAAGTAAGTTGATCATTTTGAACGTTGCCACTATGGATTTTTTTAGTATAACGACTTTATACTGAAAATCTTTATGTGATGACAATATAAAAATATATATTCTTGTGTATGTACTTTTGTTTATGTCTGTGTTACTATATCTGCTGTAAAAATGTTAATCAATTCATATTTTACTTGATTTACTCCTCTGAAGTGTTTAGTGCAAAATCTAATTCCAAAAGGTTACGGGCCCAATATATTTTCACTTATATGAAGGATTAGAAGAATAAAGTACCGTACAAGTGCATGAGTGCAACAGAGGGAATAGTGGCCTCTAAGAATCTTGGGATTCTGAACGAGGCAAAAGAGTATAAGAGCATAGACTACTGCTTTATAAAGCCCCAATTCACTCACATATGGAGTACTGCTCACACTTTTGGGCAGAAGTACCTCAATATCAGCTTCACATAATGTATAATGTTATCTAAACTTACCACATTCATCGCAATAAATTTCATTTCATTTCATTTCATTTCATTTCATTTCCACTTGACTCTATAGAGCATCATGCGGTTCGAATTATCGGTGTTCCCATGCTAATGGATGCTTTTGATTCCCTGAATTTGAGTGCGAGATAATGCCTCTTTATCAATTTACTATTATCCGTACAATGGGGAATGTTCCAGGGAATTATATGATCTGATACCATCGTCATCCTTTTACCGTTGCATCTCTTGTCATAGAGCTGAAGTTTATCCTCATTTCTTGGTTGCATGGCATACTACTACTGTAAGTGCATCCCGTTTATTTCTACCTCGTACATCTAGGTTATGGAATGAGCTCCTCTCTTTAGTTTTCTCTATGCAATATAATGCGAGGAATTTCAAAAAACGTGCCTATAAACATTTAAAAGACCAACAACGCACAAGCAAATGCTCACGTGTTGCAGATGTTTATAGGCAACGGTAGCTGCTTTACATCAGGTTGACCATCTGCTCGTTTGCTTGACTAACACAAAAAGACAGTGTGATACTATGAGGCCAATTTACTTTGTCAGAAAAAGCCTTTAAAGTAAGTGATTTAGGAATGTTCATGTTTTACTGTGATGACGATGGTGATGATGAATGTAATAATGGTTTTGAAACTGATATAGACAAAATGTTAAATGTTTAGTTGAAATGGGAGATTTTGTCTATATCAGAATAATTATATGATTCTACATACAGAGAATTTTTATACCACGAAGATGGCAAACTAACAAACAGTTCCTATGATTGTAAACGGTCACTGTAGTCTATGAATGCCTGTGATACTAGGGGTATCACGTGCATAATGTCGACCCTGAAGAAACCTCAATTCCTTTTTGAAGAATCCCATATTGTAGTCTTTAGGAAAAACTTCTGCAGCAAACTTATGAGTGAGTGTTCGCGACAGAAAATTGCTCTGAAATCACACTACTCAACGATTTAGGTTCTAGCATATGAGGATGGATTCCTTGTCGATGGCAAACGATACGATGATAAAAGGTGCTATGGGCATCATTTCGAACAGTTTTTCTAGACAAAGAGATCGATGCCGCTTGTGATTATGGGATCGTCAACAATTTTCACAGCCCATCTTTGAACTGAGTCAAAAAAACCATCTGGATACCAGATCCAGGTGCTTTGATCCACAGATGAGAGCAGTACTCCATGAGCGACAGGATCTGTGACTTGTACAATAACAGACTTTTTCCCGGGGTGAAGTACCGTTTCGCTCTATTGAGCACCCCGAGCTTTTGACATATTTTGAAATGTTATGTACAAGTAATCATGATATATGCTTGTCAAATAACCAAATGACAGTAAATTTAGTCAATTTAGAACGTCATTTGGTTTAAATTTTAAATTAATGGAATATTTATTAAACGAATGCGTAAAACGTTAAAAATCGTAGGAAAGTGAATGGAAACAAAGCTGCACGAATTGCAATAACATGTAATGCAAGTCCATAACAATGACAATTATTTAGACTATCCGTTGAATTATGATTATCAACAAAATTATAATCAGATATAATCAATTGCTTCAAATCACATATAAGCAGCTTCTACAGAAAGCTGAAAAAAACGTTTACAGACAGTAGTATAGTACTTGAACATAGTAAATTTAAACGGCATAGTAATATTGCTATTCGACTGTTATTAGGGCCCTTAATTTCATTGGGAGAAAATATCTTTCAATGTGCACTTTTTACCTACAATTTGTAGATATGTTCAATTGAAATTAGTAAAAAAATCTTTCCCTTCATTAGATTTCTATAGATCACTACTTATAACTTTACTATTAGAGGAAACTGAAAGGATATTATAAACAAAATTTTTAATTTCTTATATAACAAACTATTTTAACAGACAATAATCAGTATCAATACACAATCATAATTATCTGGGTGGACTTTTTCTATTATTTAGAATTGGCATATCATCCTTTTTCACTCCACTCTGAGATCGATTCCATGTTTCGCATGTTACATCGCAATTTTTTTCACACATCACGTTGGTCTTTTTTGTCTATTTCTTTATCCACTTTTCAAACTCTTATTACGACATGATTTTCGTCTTTACTAATAAACTGTTCATATCAATTTAATCTCATAAATTACTGTACAGTAAACTTACCAGTATTCTCGTATGGTACTACCCTTGGATGGATGTCACCAATGAGTCTCCTGCTGCAGTCAAATGATTCGCCCAGGCAACCACCATTGACTGATACAGAGGTATGTTGCAATAATAAATACTGTGAAATTATATCATATTATTAAGTTAATTTGTTTTTGTGTACATATTATTAATCTTTGTAGTCTGTATTATTCTTTAAGTTTTCATTAATTTATTCATCACTTAGACAATAAGTGCAAGGTTAAAGTAAAATTTGGTTTATGAAAAGATTTTTTAGAATTAATTTACTATTTAATTACTTTAATAATAAAAATCCCATGTCACGATGTTAGTTTACGCTAATCTTCGAAAAAGCTTAACTGGTATTAAGGAATATTTGTTAATGTGAATTGTTTGTTCCAACTCGACAAAACTATAGCTCGGTAAGTGACAGCAAGGAGCAAAATAACATTAGCCACTACATATAAAAAATAAATACAAATTGAATTCCTCTTTGATTAAATACAACAACTATACAATCAAAAATAAACATAAGTAATATCAACTGGATTCAAGTTTCCAAGAATTTATCTAGCAGATAATTTGAAACTCGGAGCGCATTATATAAATCTTACAATTCATTATAAGAAACGATGTAGGTAGGTACTTTACCAGAAAGCGCCTATTAAATATTAACCCCTCAATAATCTTTGTGATTAGCTGTGTGGTTTCGGCGCCCCTTCCTTTCTCGTGGATGTCGTAAGAGGCGAATAAGGAAACTTAAAGGTCAAGAGATGAGCATAAGCGTCCCTCATAAAACATCAACAAAGCTTAACTGAGGTTGCCAACTCGCGTGACATGCATGTCAACTACAGGCAAAACCTCTCAATAAGGGGAGGTAATGGACAGTTAATGGCTGATATTACGACTATTATTTTATTACTATTATTTGAAGTCTTCTTTTCACTGTACCTAGTGGAAGTTATTGTTTTTGTGTATATTAAAAAATATTTAAATATTTCTGTCAATTGTTTAGTATCCAAAATAAGCCCTGCTTAGTTTGGGACTGGATGACTCTGTGTAACGTGTCCAATGCTATTTATTTTTTATTTCCTTTTTTATTAAGATCTCATATATGCCTACAAAGTTGGTAACCTTTACTTCAATTTTTAGATATCTTGGATGGCATCTGTGGCATATTTAGTTTGCATAGCAACTGATTTTGTAATAGGATACATGGGAGACAAAATCGGACGAAAATTGACATTGATTTTTGTATCTGCTTCGACTGCTGTAAGTACCACATAATGCTTCAATTTGAAAATTACATATCCATTTTCTATTTTCTGGTTCTATGCTTTTATTATATTTATAACTATTAATGTAATTGTTGTGAACAATAAACAATTAATTATCACATAGTGCTATTTTATCCTAAACTATACAAAGTTTCTTCTCATTTAAGTTTTATCTTATGGGAGGTTGGATAGCTTTAGAACTATCATTATTTTTGGGACTACCTCCCTGAAGAATAAGATCAGAAAGTTGTCATATCGATCAAGTAAATTGTTTGATCAGCTTTTGTCATCTATTTTTACCAGAAATTTTTGATAATTAACACGTAGTTATTCATTACTTGTCAGTTCTCAAAAATCTGATCAAAGTTAGATATTATTTGCGCTAAATGATGTTTATAAGGTTCAACCTTTTTAGAAGCCTCCAGAAGAGTATAGTACTTGGAAGTTAGTGCATGTTACAGTTTAAGACCATATTTTTGCTCTACATGTCGTCACTGTTAAAGCACTGGCAAAGCTTTGGATATTAAATTAAATTTGTTATGATAACATATGTTATATTATCATAAATTATTGAAGCAACCATATTCAAGACAACTCAGTTAATCATTATGTTTATCACTGCATAGATTATATTGATTTCACTCTCTACAGTGTTGCTGGATAATTAAATTATCATCAATGGAGGTTTGGGCATTTGTGCTTGCAAGAGCTATAGTTGGATTTCCTATGGCCGGTGCTTTTGTCACATGCCCGCTCTATACGAAGGAAATTAGTGAAGATAGTATTAGAGGGTCATTAGCATCTTTTGTAAGTTGATTTTCTTACAAAATTTTATTTAGTGGAGTATTCTTTTTTATTAAAAGATGGGTTTGCGCCTAATCTTACCTCTCCTGATGGTAAGTGATGTTAAGATCTAGAATGGAGCGCGCTTATCCAGAAGATATTTATTCACTATAGGCTTAAAAAGTCCCAGATTGATAATTATGACAATTTTAATGCCAATAATTACATATTAGCTCTAAATTACTTAGTATAAATGTTGCGAGGACTCGATAGATGTAATGCTTTGTGGTAAAGTATGAGGGAAACCTATACTCAGCAGTAAATGATAGATGAGTTGTAATAATGATGATGACAAATATAACTTATGTTTTCGAATTTTTTTTTATTGTAAGTTGAAACAAGTTGAAACAACGATCTACTTCTTGTGAAGTGATAAAAATGGATTATAACATAAAGTGTTTACAAAGCAGTACAAAGTATATTGTTGCCAAGCTTTATTCAAATATTTTTAAAAAATCCAACTTCAAAATAAATATTTGCTCGATATTCTAATAGTTGTAATATTAAACAAACTGGTATTAATAATAGACAATCAATATAATAAATGTTTTATGACAGGTTATATTATTTCATACAACGGGAAATCTCTTCCTCTATATCATTGGTGATATATTCAGCTACAACACCATCCTATGGATTTGTCTGGCATTACCAACCATACACATTTTACTGTTCATGATGATGCCAGAATCACCTTCGTACTTAGTAAAAAGAGGGAAGTTACAAGTAAGTATTAAGGATTTTCATATACATACAAAATATATTGTACAGGAAGAGTCATTAAGCTGATAATGAATTTAACAGTTTTATAAAAAGATTATTTGATAATCAGAATTAAAGTAAAACGAATGAAATTAGAGGGAATGTTAATTAAAATATTAAAACTGCAAAAATTTTACATAGTCAAATTGACGTACTAGGTATCATTAATAAATGCCTACTACTCGTTTTATTACTGTAAAGATCATTGAAAAGAGATGATTTATATTTTCTGTTTACTTTGTAAAAAATGAACTTTAATGCATATATTTGAAGGATATTCCTTTGTATTCAGGAAGCAGCCAGTGTTCTAGCATGGCTCCGATGTAGAGAGGAAGAAGATATTGTAATTAAACAAGAACTAGAGAGAATTAGACAAGAATTAAAAAAAGATGAAGAAAGTAGTAAATTTGTTCTTAAAGCTATACGTAAGTATTTGAGTGATATCGATCTGATTGCGTACACAAAAATGAAACGTGAATGAATAGGTTAAAAAATAAAATTCTAGTTTAGTGATTTGTACATAACTAATACATATTAACATCTGTCTTAAATAAAATACTCCTTGTAAACTCAATAATTGAGTGTTTCATTATTTATTAAGTCTATTATAAATTTGTACACGAAAACAAACAAAAAAAAAAAAACAAAGATTGTGTGAATGATTGTTTTTTTTTTACTTTGTGTGAGAATATCGGTTCCTATTATTGATTATGCTAATGTATTATCCAGATCTTAATGAAGATCTTCTCGATACGCTGGATCGTCTTCTCAACCAAGCCATACGCTTTATCTTCAACCTTCGGAAGTTCGATCACATTTCCTTCTATCGGTCTCAGCTCAAATGGCTTCCCATTCGTCAACGCAGAAATGTTAGGACTCTTTATACCCTCTAAACTCTTCTTTAAACCCCCAGTCTCCTAACTACTTAAGCAGCAAATTCCAGTACCTTTTTGAAACTCACGATCATAATCTTCGTTCCAGTAAACTCTCCAACTATCTATCCCCTCTCACCGTAATGGTTTCGCTTCAAATTCTTTTCTCCTACATTCTTCACGGCTCTGGAACGCGCTTCCTGACACTATTAAGACAACCGACTAAACTGTCTTTAAAAAAAAAAACGTTCATGCTCACTTTTTTAATTTATCCCAGCATTAAATACTTTATATTATTCTCAATTTCATGTATAATATAGTATATTTTATATAACTATAAGTATATTTGTTATTTATGTAAATTTATTCGTTTATATATATAATTTTAGTATATTTGTAAATCAATAATTTCTAGTACCGCGTTCGAGTATTCTGACACTTCCCTATAGTTGACAGGGAGAGAATGCTTTTAGCATTAAGTCCGCCATGTACACATATATGTACTAATGAATAGATAAATAAATAAGGTTCTTACCTGACTTTGAACCTAGCCGAATGTGGCTTACTGGATGAAAGCTGTCTTACTAAACCACAATACTTGTTCCAATAATATAGCACTATTAAAGACAAATTTTGTATTACTTTTAGTGACGGACAAAATAGTATTCAGAACATTCTGCATAGCTATGGTAGTGGCTCTTGGAAGAGAAGTATGTGGAGCGGTACCAGTTATAAACTTTGCTGGAGATATCTTCTCATCATCATCAAAGGGTACAGGATTGTTAATGACTCCAAATCAACAGGCGATGGTTTTAGGAGCAGTGCAAGTTGCTGGATCGAGTTTCGCATCAAGTGTCGTTGAGAGATCTGGTAGAAAGGTAAAACTATTTCCAAAATAATTTTTAATAATAATACTACCATAAATTATATCTCCGTCATCTACAAAGACATCTGTATAGCGAATATTGATTACTCAAAATATAAGGTGATCAATAATGACAACCATCAGAGATTTGTATTTAAAAAAACGACAAAATACTGCAATTATATCAAAATACAAAAGGCTATTAAACTTAAATTTTAATTAAGTATAAGGATTGAATGATAGCCCTTAGGATATGAGTTGTAATAATATTTTATCCTAATTTCTTTTACATAGCACAGGGTAATAAAATTGAGCTACTTTTATTCTTAGTAATCTATTGGTGGTACTTAGTAAGCTCCAAAACATGAAACGCATAGAAAATATTTAAAAAAATAATTGTAGTAAAATATTCAATAAGCACATGTACTCTTCCCCAATTTTGCGACAATAAGTACCTGATTGGTTTTAATTTTTAAAACAATTTCAATATAAATTCAAATTTTTGCTAAATTCCAATAATCATCAGAATTACTGAGTCCCGAATTTAAATTCACGGTCAGGTCAAATTAGGAAATATACATCTGAATTAGATCGGATCTTGGCGTGTTGAGTTTTATGCCTAGACGATCATTGCCTGACTCCTTCTAAGACTTACTATCTTAGCATGAAGATCAGGTAATTTTGTGATGTGATTGTTGTTATTATTATTACGAGTATCTTATCTCACTTATTTTTGCAGCCTCTTCTCTTCATAACATCACTGGTATCTGGTCTCAGTATGTGCATACTAGCCTCGTGGTTCGTGGCTCGAGACTTTGGCCTTCTAGCACCAGCGTGGCTGCCAGTAGTGACGTTATGCGTTTGCATTTTCTGTGACTCGTCAGGCTTGCTACCAGTATCTGTTATTATTAACGGAGAAATGTTTTCTTTTAAGGTTGGTCGAATTTTATGCATATATGAGATGTTTGAATTTATTTATTAATATTTGTAATTTTCGTGGCTACTATTGGCAAACATTCCCTATGGGGAAGGCTTATGTTCAGCAGTAGACAGTTTATGGCTGAAATATAATAATTTGATATTCTTTCGTATTCATAATAATTTGTATTTAATTTTGTGGTAGCTTGTTTTGCATTGTTTCGACAGTGTAGAATTCATTACCTTCTGTTACTGTGTATGTTTCGGAAAATCCATTATTAGTATTACTATATATTAATAAAAAACCATCTCTGTTGAATTCTGTTTCTATAAACAGCTGTTTGAGCTATGGATTAATCAAAAATCAATTTCTTTGTTTGTAATCATAAATTCACAATTCTGAATTGCCACAATCTGTTTTTATTATATGTTTTTTTAAATAATATTTTACATAATATTTTTTTTAAATTACAGTATCGAGGTACCGTCATGGCAGCTGCAACAGCTGCAGGATCATTAGTTGCCTTCCTCGAAACGTTGTTCTTCAAACCACTAGCCAAGTCCATGGGCATTCATGTGGCATTTTACTTTTTTGGAATTTTATGTTTATTCGTTGCCGTTTATGTTATACTGGTACTTCCAGAAACTAAAATGAAAAGTGTTGAGGAAATTCAGGATAAATTGAAAACAAAAAAGGAGAGAGAAGAAGATAAAAGAAAATTAGAAGAGAATGGTGGGAATAAGGAGACTTGTTAAAACTTGTTGAAATTTATTGTATTAAATTAGATAATTATTTATTATAATCAAAGATGTTTATTAGTAAGATATTTATACACTAACAAACGAACTAACTGGCTATTCAATGGAAAGTGCTAGCCGCTGCCTACAGACTTGAACAGTAAGAGTCACTTTTTTAAGAATAGTGTTAGGACATTTAACCTTTGAAATATTTTTATGATTTTTTATTATTTTACCAATTGTTTTTTAAATTGCTCTCAGGCAAGCACAAGCTGCTTGGCAACGTACATATACATGAAATAAGAGGACATAGAGTTTTGTATAAATTGTAAATAAAGTAGCTGTAAATTGACAAAAACTATTTTTCATTATTCAAAATCCACTTCCTTCTTTCCCATATATCCATGTAAATATTAAGGTAAAAGTTATTTTTTTTATATTCTTTATTACACTAGCTAAGCCAAATCTTGAGCTTGAATTACATCCCAAGTAAAAATAATTGTCTATTAAATTTTAGGAATTTATAATACCTACTGAAGAGCAAACATGGAATTAGTACTAAGAAAAAAGAAATTATTATATAAATCCATTTCATAATGTTGCATGTTCTCGTAACATGTAAATTTTAAAATGTTCTGCATAGAACTAGGCTCTTATATAGAATTCAATTCTTTATTAATAATAATTTCAAAATTTACACGCTTATCCCTTATATTATTAAAGTTATATAAACTTATTATTATTATTCACTTACTTATTTTACATCTTATGGTTTTATAAAGTAGATAATATCATAGAAGTCGGTACAGTGTACGATAGGGCAGAATCTATAAGGAAAGTAAAAACTCTTAAAATTTTAAAAAATAAACTATTATTCTAGTAACTAGTAGTATTATTATGGGTGATCAGTTTCTGCACAGTAAGCCAGTGTATTGGGGAGTTGGTTTGATTCCCAGACGCCTAATGTTCTTCTACACTCTACCTAACAACTCTGTATGTGTTTGTAAATTAAAAACCGAAAATGTAAAAAAAAAATCTGGCTCTAAAATTATATCATTTTATTTTTTCCTATTTTTTCCTGTTCTAAGGGTTGGTATATACGATTACAGTAAGCGTAATTTATTGCATATAAAAATTTAAAATCTTTCCAAAATAATGTTATTTAAATAATAATAAAATAAAAATAAAAAAAAATACTTTTAATAATAATTAACACCTTCAACATTATCTCAGCCATTATCTGTCTACAGTCGAACATAGACGTTCTCCACAGACTGCCATAAGGAACGGTCCTGAGCCACCTGCATCCACTGTCTCCCTGCAATGCATTTGAGGTCGTCACTCCATCTAGTGGGAGGTCTTACTTTAATAATCTAAAAATTATTTATTTCCACTTTACTCACATTTTAAATCACTCCAAACTTTGAATTACATAGAAGGCAATCATGAGCTGAACACGTGGCTGAATTTTTATGTATCTCGCTGATCACGCGGTGACTGTGATGTTGTTTCCGGGTTCGATTCCCTACACGAACGTGAAGTCAATAAATATATCTTATTTACCGCGAGGTAAATACATAATATGTACAGATTTAATGCTTTTCACACGTCAGCCTGTTTATAAGTAAGCACATTAATAAAAAAAATTAAAAATAATAGTCCAATTAGATATCTATGTAAATTGAAAAATATTTACACATGTATGGAATTATTTAATTAGATACCAAGTAAGCAATTATAATTTTATATAAATAGTATAAATTTTCTTACGTACACTATCTCGAGTCGTTTGCTTTATTATAAAACTAAATTTAGGTATAGTTGGTTCAATAAAAACTGTTTATTTTTTATATTTTTCCAAATGAAGTATATATTGTAACTAGAATGTTTTCCAACTGACTCCAAAAAAAGGAAGTTTTGAATAATTGCTGATATCTTTTTTAATGTTTGTTACCTCATAAAAACGATTTGAAAAAATTATTTTTTTGTCCCAAAAGGTATTTTTTTTTATTCTTCTAAAATGGCAAACAAGCTGATAGTCTACCTGATGGAAAGTGGTAACCGTCGCCTATAGACATGAGCAGTACCATGGACATAACAGAGTATACTGTTTCGCCCACGATACTCCTCATGTGTTATTATTCCTATGGACTAAGGTGTTATATAAAGTCATACTTTCAGATTAGTCTCAAAGAAATTTTATCAAAATTGGTTTAGTAGATAGATAGATATTCTTTATTGTTTCCTCCAAAAGATTACAATAGTAAACTTATTATAGATACAAACAATTACAAGAAAATATTTTACACTGAGAAAACAATGGGCGGCCTAATCGCTAAGAGCGATCTCTTGCAGGTAGTCTTTGGATGGAGAGTAGTTTATTTATTAAGTCAAAATAATTTATTTTACACCGCTTTAAATATTTTTTTTTTTGTGGAATACAATCTTAAAATGTTTCCATTAAACATGCATTTAACAGTTGTTTACATAATAATAATAATATTCTTTATTATCAGGTACTTAACCCATAGAGGTACAATTGTATTACAACGTGCTCGGGTAACATATAACAATCAAAACATACAAAAAAAAAAGACATAAAAATTAAAATATGTAGAAAATTTATAAATAGCAAAGTAAATAATATATCAAACACAGTTATTAGATAAAAAACAAGAGAATAATATTTAATGTTCCTGTCTTGTCGCACGGACAACCAATACTTTTGAATGGGACCGTTCAGACACTGGGACAATGTGCTGAGGATTTCATTCTTTGTATTCCGAATGTGAGCCCAGAAATTTGCTACACGATTTCTTATTATAGCGAGTTTAAGCCTATCTACCTGTCAATATTTTTTTCATTACTACCTACAGCATATTTTTATCACACTTCAGAGAGACGATTTATTACTCATTACGCTACTATTGATTATGAGAAAAAATATTGTAAAACTTGATTAAATCATCTTATTTAACTAAAAATTGGATTTCAATAGAAGCTCCATTGTGTTATATTAAACAACAGTGTATTTTTACATATATACATAATATATTTTTCATGGAAATATTTTTAATTGAATTCATAAAATGAGAACGAGAAATATTTCGGTATAATTCTGTTTTTTTTTTTTTTATTTTAATTCAGTCTTCTTTTACGATATACGACCGTTATTATTTTTAGCTCCTTATAAATTTAATAATAACAATAATAATATTGTACCCATTGTTCTATCTTCCACCGGCATTATCCCAAAGACTCTAAGTAATAGCCTACAAACACTAAATATCCACACTAATCAAACATACCTACTACAAAAGGCCACTATCTTAAATACCTGCCATATTACCAGAAAATTCCTCACCTCGTCTACTATTACATCTTCCTAGTCTGAAACCTCTCCTACACTTGGTTAAGGCCCGTGTCGGTGAGTAAACCTTTGTCCATGTGAAGAAGAGAAAGAAAAACAAAAATAAGCAATAATAATATAAAATATTTACCAACAAATACTTTTTTTATGGAATCAAATGACAATCATGCCTATAATTAGGTGCGAGGCTTTATTTCTTATTTACAATTGATATTTATCTTAAGACAATGTATTAAACAATCACATGATCAAACAATGCTCGCATCAGTTACGTTTGTACATGCTCAATTTAATATCAATACAGTATCTGATATAGTTAAATAGTCGTAGACAGATTGCGGGGCGGCTACGTAGTATTTGTCTGGCGTACATTGTACACGATGTAAATATTAACAAGGGAATATCTATTTGTATACAAATAGTATAATAATTTTAACTTGTACAGTTGTTAAGTAAAAGTGTACAATGAAGAAGTACAACTTTTTCTTTAGTGAAGGTAGCAAGGTCAACCAACTGATATGTGTTGTTCTTAGTAAGTAAATATTTTTATACTTCTATATTACTATGTTGTAATTTATAACTAGATAGATAAATAATTTATTTGCATTACTTCAGTATAAAAAAGCGATAAGTAATAAAAAAAAAATAATTTAATTTAATTAAAATATTTTTACACCTTCGTTAGTATTATGTTGTAGTTTATAACTAGATAGATAAATAATTTATTTGCATTACTTCAGTATAAAAAAGCGATAAGTAATAAAAAAAAATTAATTAAATTAAATTAAAATATTTTTATACCTTCGTTAGTATTATGTTGTAGTTTATAACTAGATAGATAAATAATTTATTTGCATTACTTCAGTATAAAAAAGCGATAAGTAATAAAAAAAATGTAATTTAAATAAATTAAAATATTTTTATACATTCGTTAGTATTATGCCGTAGTTTATAAATAGATAGATAAATAACTTATTTGTGGTACTTCAGTATAAAAAAAGCTATAAATAATAAAATAATGTAATTTAATTAAATTAAAATATTTTTATACCTTTGTTAGTACTATGTTGTAGTTTATAAATGGATAGATAAATAACTTATTTGTGGTACTTCAGTATAAAAAAAGCTATAAATAATAAAAAAATGTAATTTAATTAAATTAAAATATTTTTATACCTTCGTTAGTATTATGCCATAGTTTATAAATAGATAGATAAATAACTTATTTGTGGTATTTCAGTATAAAAAAAAGCTATAAATAATAAAATAATGTAATTTAATTAAATTAAATTATAAAGAGAGAAAGAAAAAATATTTATTCAGTGGCACACATAGACATTACAGCAACTAACAGTAAAAATAAATTTCTAGTCATTAACAATTAAAGATTGTGTGAAAAAACTGACTTCAATTGTGACAAAATCAATTATATTGATTTAAAAACAAAACTACTTTATTGGCCTACATAAACATTATAGTAACTAACAGTAAAAACAAATTCTAGTCACTAATATGATTAAAGATTATGACCTACAAATAAAAAACTGACTTCAGTTGTGACAAAATCAATTATATTGATTTAAAAACTAAACTACTTTATTGGCCTACATAGACATTATAGTAACTAACAGTAAAAACAAATTCTAGTCACTAATATAATTAAAGATTATGACCCACAAATAAAAAAGTGACTTCAGTTGTGACAAAACCAATTATATTGATTTAAAAACTAAACTACTTTATTGGCCTACATAGACATTATAGTAACTAACAGTAAAAACAAATTCTAGTCACTAATATAATTAAAGATTATGACCCACAAATAAAAAAGTGACTTCAGTTGTGACAAAACCAATTATATTGATTTAAAAACTAAACTACTTTATTGGCAATCTATGGGTGAGACCTATGTTCATCAGTGGATAGATAACTGCTGATAAGATGATGATGATGATGATGAAAAAGTAATCATTTACTAATATGTTCTAAATATTAATATTACGATTATTGCTGTGTAGCTTGAATCAGTTTATATTTTTTTTATGGGTGATAATGGAATGGTATCCACTCCCCCGCTATCGGTACCGGCGGGGCAGTGAAGGATGATAGGTGAGGATGAAGCAGATCAGTTAGCCCATCGTGACGAATTCAACAAGAATTGTTTACGATGGTTCCCAGCGGGAACCATGTGGAGGTCGACCTAATAGAGCATATTGCTAGCAATGGGGCTGTCAAACTCCATTACTAACAATCCCTTTACCCCTTAATCAGTTTGTGTTGAAACATGTTCTACCTCCTACATTAATATACTTTACAATAATGTAATGTCGTACAGGAAGGTCAAGGATATGGCCTGGGATAGAGCTGGCTGGAAGAGGATGCATGAATTAGTTGCACCGACAAGAGGAAACTCTTAAATTAAAAGAGAGATTATTTAAAAAAGTATAAAAGTGCCCACTTTATTTACTATTTATTATTTATGTACAGTAAATATCCCGGTGTTTGCGTATGGCACTACCATAGGATGGATGTCGCCGATGAGTTTACTGCTGCAGTCGAAGGATTCACCCAGACAGCCTCCGTTGACTGATATTGAGGTATCAAAATCGTTTATACCAAAATCTTACTGAACTGTAGCAACGTTGTAATTATGTCTCATTTTTCGAAAATAATGTATATAAATAAAAAAAAAAATTAATACGTGATAATGGAATGGTATCCCCCCCGACTGCGTTATCGGTATATCTTGGCAGAACACCAGTGAAGGATGATAGATGAGGATCAATTCTGGTTAGTTTACCCATTATAATGAATTTGATAAGAATAAATCACGATGGTTTCCAAGGGGAACCACGTGGAGGTCGACCTGAGGGTATTATTAATGATAGGACTATTAGACCCGATTACTAAAAATTCTTTTCCTCCCAACAAAAACCAACTGCCAAATGTATGTAAGCGCATCACTTCAGAATACATGTATCTATTTGGTTAATCCTTTTTTTTTTTATACAACTTAGAATGGCAAACAAGCTGACGGCCCACCTGATGGAAAGTGGTAACCGTCGCCTATAGACATGAGCAGTACCATAGACATAACAGAGTATACTGTTTCGCCCATGATACCCCCCATGCGTTGCCATTCCCGAGGACTCAGGTGTTATTCCTCTGTACCCAGTAAATTCACGCCATATCCCACCCTTCAAACCGAAACACAGCCATGCAAACACAAAATCTTTTTTTAATTAATTAATTGAATAAAAAAAATTTGTAATTTGGACAAAGTTTGTGTGAAATCAGAATTTAGTAGGGTTATACGGCCGTATAACATTTTCTATACACTAGCATGCTATGAAATGAGAAAAATAGCAACTGATGGTGTATCTTTCGCCCTCTTTTTACTAATTATCTTTGCATAAGCAGAAAGGCGTCAACCATATGATTTTCAATTTAGTTTATCATTTCTTCTATGTAATTCATTGTTCTTAGCATAAATTCTCTTAAGAGCGTTCATAACTTTAGCTAACCAAAGTGTGGCAATGTCGCAATTATCTGTTAATTATCAAAAACAACTACACTAGCATGCTATGAAATGAGAAAAATAGCAACTGATGGTGTATCTTTCGCCCTCTTTTTACTAATTATCTTTGCATAAGCAGAAAGGCGTCAACCATATGATTTTCAATTTAGTTTATCATTTCTTCTATGTAATTCATTGTTCTTAGCATAAATTCTCTTAAGAGCGTTCATAACTTTAGCTAACCAAAGTGTGGCAATGTCGCAATTATCTGTTAATTATCAAAAACAACAATTTGCAATGTTCCCTAGTAATTGTTTAAAAAACTTCTCTGCTAGCAAACTAAAATGTTAATAACTGATTAACATTAATAACTGTGGAACAGGCTACCTGCTGACATACAGGATAGTTCTTCCATTACTTTCTTCAAGAAAAGAATGGAATCTTACCTTTTAACTAATAATGCATGCCAATATTATGCACTTATACATATATATAGTTATTTAATAATTTATTTATTTACAATTTATGTACGTTTTATTTACATTATTTTTACCTGTACCTTTCCTGCACTAGATTTTTTTTATACAACTTAGAATGGCAAACAAGCTGACGGCCCATCTTGATGGAAAGTGGTAACCGTCGCCTATAGACATGAGCAGTACCATAGACATAACAGAGTATACTGTTTCGCCCATGATACCCCCATGCGTTGCTATTCCTCAGGGCTTAGGTGTTATTCCTCTGTACCCAGTAAATTCACGCCATATCCCACCCTTCAAACCGAAACACAGCCATGCCAGCAAACATAACTGCTTCACGGTTGAAACACGAATGGGACAGAGGTACCCAAGCGATCGACTTTTGTACAATTAATTCTCTCTAACTGCACTGGGTTGGCTGGAACAGATCTCTTTTAGAGATAAGCCCTACCTTGCTAACAAGTTGTTAAACTAACCGCTGTATCTTTTGTTCAAGTGCAATAAAGAATATATATAGCATTTCTATTTTTATTTTTTAGATATCATGGATAGGATCTGTTCCGTATTTAGTCTGCATGATGACCGACTTTCTAATTGGATACATAGGGGACAAGATTGGACGAAAAGTAACAATGATTTTTGTGTCCGCCATGGCTGCTGTAAGTATATAATTATTTCAAAAGAGGAACAAAGTCTGTGACTTTATGTATAACTGGCGACCCGTACCGGCGTCGCACGGATGGACATTTTTAACATTTTCCTTCACTGCTCTGCTCTTATTGATCGTAGCGTGATAAAAAGTATACTATAACCTGCTCAGCAATATGAAGAACAATTGTACCAAGTTTCGTTAAAATCCGTCGAGTAGTTTTTGTTTCTATAACGAATATACAGACAGATAGACAAAAATTGTACTGATTGCATTTTTGGCATCAGTATCGATCACTAATCACCCCCTGTAAGTTATTTTGGAAATATATTTCATGTACAGAATTGAGCTCTCTACAGATTTATTATAAGTATAAATTATATAAGAATTATAACTCCGCCTGCGCTATCAGTTTACGCTGGTGGAGTATCAGCGCCGGAAGATACTAGGAAATGAAGATCTGCTGTCCATCACAGCTAATTTACCATGATAAAGAGAAGAATATGGTAGTAATATTACTGGGCACGTACACAGTATTCATGAGGTAATCGTCAGAAGTTACCTTCAGACCATGGTTCTCTAAGGGTAGACAGAGTGAATCGACTGCCAAAGTTTTTCTTATATATTGTGACTTGAAGTGAGATAAACGGACAGCTGGCCTTTATTTATTTATTTATATGCTTTTGTACATTCACTTATAGTATCGATATTAGGTTATAATAAAAATTTACACGGGCTGACTTAGCCATTAACGGGATTTCTTCTAATCAACCTTGAGAAACCGAAAGAAGTATCTATGGAGTTTATATAGTTTTTGTATTTTTTTTATGCAACCTGTTCTGACTGTTATCGTACACTACCCTACAATTGTATTTTTTTTTTATGGTTCCAATAAATACATTTTATTTTAAATACCTTCAATGGCAAACTAGCTGACGACCCACCTGATAGAAAGTGGTAACCGTCGCCTATAGACATGAGCAGTACCATGGACATAACAGAGTATACTGTTTTGCCCATAAAACCCCCTATGCGTTGCCATTCCTGAGGATTCAGGTGTTATTCCTCTGTACCCTGTAAATTCACTGACATATTCCATCCTTCAAACCGAAACACAGTCATGCAAATACAAGTGCCAAGTACCCAAGCAAACGACTTATGTATAAAGTCTCCTTCTGGTAAATAAGAATATAAGGATTTTACTTTGTACAGGGTTGCTGGACAGTAAAATAATTTTACTTTGTACAGGGTTGCTGGATAGTAAAACTGTCATCAACGGAATTTTGGGCATTCGTGCTCGCAAGGTGTATGGTTGGGTTTCCCATGGCCGGCGCTTACGTCACATGCCCGCTTTATACAAAGGAAATTAGTGAAGATAGCATTAGGGGATCGTTGGGATCTTTGGTAAGTTGTTTAGAATTGTATTTACTTGATCCTATGTACTACTACTTACTACTTGATGCTACCGTTTCTGCCTACCCTAATGGGAGACAGGCGTAACAGATACGTATGTATGTATGTATACTATATTATATTAATTGACCGAGGACAAACAAACAGAAGTATAACACTGTAAACTCATAAAGGTGTCATAATGTATTTTGTGATCGAAGCTGTTCATCTTAATAGGTAACTGAATTTAATTTTTTTTAATGGATGGTTAATGAAATAGTAACACCGCCTGCGCTATCGGTATACTATATACTACTATACGCTGGCGGGGCACCAGTTTTTTTTTTTATTGGTGAAAGTGGAATGGTAACCCCGCCAGCGCTAGCGGGATACGCTGACGGGGCACCCGTGAAGGGTGATCGATGAGAATGAAAATAGGCCATCATGATGAATCCATCAGGAATTAACCATGATAGTTTCCAGGGGGAACCGCGTGGAGGTCGAGCTGGTTCGGCATATTGCTAGCAATGGGATTCTTAGTCTCCATTACTAACAATCCCTTTCCCCCAATATTTAGATACTGTAACTACCAATATATAGATATTACTATATATTACTCACCCTTACTATAGTATATATTTTATAACAGGTAATCTTATTCCATACGACGGGAAATCTCTTCATTTACATCATCGGTGATGTATTCAGCTATACCACTGTCCTCTGGATTTGTCTGGCGTTGCCGACCATACATATTGTACTGTTCATGATGATGCCAGAATCACCTTCGTACTTGGTGAAAAGAGGAAAGATACAAGTGAGTGTTTTATTCATAATTAAACTGTAATAAATAAATTCTACTACCTGATAATATTACAACTATTAACTATTTAAGTATTCCCAATTATTTTTTCCTACATCTGGAATATAGCTTTGTATGGATGTGAGACGTGGACACTAATTCAGAAGGAAATGGATAAACTTAGAGTCTTTGAAATGTGGTGATGGAGAAGAATGGAGAAAATTAGCTGGAGGGATCGAATTAGTAATGAGGAGGTCCTGCTTAGGGTTGAGGAAAAGAGACAAATTATAAGAACTATTGAGATCAGAAGGGAAAAAATGTTAGGACTCTTGGTACGACACGACGAACTTATAAATATTATAATAGAAGGTAAGATAGAAGGAAGGAGGGGAAGAGGGAGACCAAGACATAATTAGAATAAGACAGATCAAGGAAGGAGTTGGCGTCGTGTCGTATCAAAAGGTGAAGAGACTCGCTGAAAATCGTAGTGAGTGGCAAAAGCTATGCCGGGACCATACTAAAATAAAGTATATTTTCTGAATATATTTGTTGTTTTTGTAGGAAGCAGAAAGAGTTCTAGCCTGGCTCCGATGTAGAGAAGAAGGAGATATTATAATAAAACAAGAACTAGAAAGAATTAGACAAGAACTGAAAAAAGATGAAGAAAGTAGTAAATTTGTACTTAAAGCTATATGTAAGTATCGTACTGATACAGAACTCTTAGTATTAGTAATAATATGTTATGTCAAACAAGCTGACGGCCCACCTGATGGAAAGTGGTAACTATCGACTATAGACATGAGCAGTACCATGGACATAATAATTCACAGTTTTTATGCCACGATGCGGAAAAGATGCGCATTCCTGATGCTCAAAGTACGTGCCAGCACCAACAGCATCCTGAGTATGATGGCAAGCAGGCTGGACTGTGTGTACGTTAATCACTGCTGCACAATTTCCAATGGAATTGTACAGCGGTGATTATTTGTATATAGTATACATATATGTATGTGTGTGTGTGTAAATTTACCTAACATTAGCTTTAAGAACATTGTTACCAATAAATAATATTTAACAATATTCTTCACGGCAAAAACACGAATAGAACAGAGGCACCCAAGCAAATGACTTTTTTCTAAATGATAACTTCGCCTGTGCACGGGGAAAAGGATTGTTAGCAATGGAGTTTGACAGCCCCATTGCTAGCAATATACCCTATTAGATCGACCTCCACGTGGTTCCCCCTGGAAACCATCAGGAACAATTCTTGTTGAATTCGTCACGATGGGCTAACTGACCTACTTCATCCTCATCTATCATCCTTCACTGGTGCCCCGCCGGTGTATACCGATAGCGCGGGTGGGGTTACCATTCTATTATCATCCATTTAAAAAAGCCTCGCCTGTGCTAACGGTATACGCTGGCGCATCATCAATGAGGGATAACAGATGAGAATGAAAAGGCAGGTCAATTAGCCCATCGTGATGAATACACCTAGAATTTAACACGATGGTTTCCAGAGGGTAGCACGTGGAGGTAAACCTGACAGGATATGTTGCTAGCAATGAAACTATTAGCCCGCATTATCAACAATCGTTAGCAGTCGGATTGGCTACCGCAGTTAGGCTTTGGTGATGTTTTAAGTAGGACGATGATGCTGCCCATATCATGATAATTATTTTAATTTGCAGTATACTATTTTTGTTTAATTTATCGCCATATTTTTTTTTTAATTTAGCTTCAAAATAGACAGCGGCAATTTGTCTGGTGGTTTTGATATCCGTCAATTAATTGCCACTATAGGTACATTGTTGATGCTTGGGTCATGAACAATTAAGATCATTCGCTCAATTGATTTGCATCGAGTTTTTGTGATGTACGCTTCAATAGCTGATCCTAACTAAAAAATAAAGAAAGAATTAATTCCCAGGAACATTCTATTTACACAGTGGCATAAGTGAAAAGACTAAGTATACCAATATAATTAAACCCAAAACAAAAACGCAATGTGTGTGTGTCGCAAAGTTAATTGTACTGATTGTATTATTTATTACTTCCAGTGACAGACAAAATACTATGTAGAACATTCCGCATAGTAATGGTAATCTGCCTTGGCAGAGAAATATGTGGAGCTGTACCAGTACTCAATTTTGCTGGGAATATATTTGCAATGGCATCTGAGGGGACAGGACTGGTTTTGACTCCAAATCAACAGGCGATGGTTTTGGGAGCAGTACAAGTTGCTGGATCTAGCTTTGCGTCGAGCATTGTGGAAAGATCTGGTAGAAAGGTATAAAGTAAAAAAAAAAAAATATCTACCTTATAAGATTAATTGTACTAGTTGTTTCTAAAGGTTTTACTGAACCTGAACTAGATGTTATCTTGGAAAAGTCCATATTACTTTTTACTTGATTAGAATTATTTTGTTTAATTCTACTACCATTAATATGCATGCGACTGCCAACACTCAAAGATTGAGTACTAAACTGCGAATTTTCATTAATAAATTTATATTATCATTAATTATTCGCAGATTGGGCGTCGAATGGTTAACACTAAGTTCCGAGCATCAATCTATTAATTTGCCAGAAGATGCCTCGTTTAGAAGTGAAACACGTGTCCCAAAATGTATACGGACTTATTTATTTCTATCTGTCTCTTTTTGCAGCCTCTTCTCTTCATAACATCACTGGTATCCGGTCTCAGTATGTGTACTCTGGCCTCGTGGTTCGTGGCTCGAAATTTTGGCCTTCTAGCACCAGCGTGGCTGCCAGTAGTGACGTTATGTGTTTGCATTTTCTGTGACGCGTCGGGCTTGCAACCAATATCTGTTATTCTTAATGGTGAAATGTTTTCGTTTAAGGTTAGTAGCGTAATTTTTGTATCTTCATGTTTTATACATAATACATTAATGCATTTAGAAATATTTGGTACCTATAATCTTATGTAATAGATGGGTGCATATTTATTTTAATTTATTCACCAGATCTTTAACGGGATAGACAGCAAGAGAGAACTAATTACTATAGTTGTCTATTTAATCTAAAGATAGTACAGGCACAAACTTCTATAAAATAAATATAACATTTATATTATTCATTTAGAAATATTGAATCCGAAACGAGAATATCCGCAAAAGAACTAAAGTAACTAACATAGCTCAAATAATAAGCAAGTTAAAGTGGCAACGGGTCGGTAAATTACCCAGAAAAACCGCCAACTGATGGGGGAGAAAGGTTCTTGAATTGCGATCTCGTACGACAAACTCAGTGTAGAAAGACCGCCCTATTAGATGGAGTGACGACGTCAAATGCATTGCAGAGAGTCAGTGGATGTAGGTGACTCAGGACTGTTCCTTAAGGTAGTCTATGGGGGAGCCCTATGTTTAGTAGTTCTATATTCTCTCTGATACGTGTCTATGATTAATTTATAGATAATATCATATGGTGGAAATTGCAACTATTGCATATTTTAGGTATATCGAGTGACAATAATCAAAAACATCGTCATCACATGTAACTATACATATAAATATACTATGTATAACTTTTATATAATTTTCAGAATAGAATAGAATAGAAACATTTATTGCCAGTAAACATACAATTACAATATAAAATATAAATAACATATACAAAAAGTGTCCCATACTAGGCAAAAAGAACCGGCTCAGCTGATGCTGTGAGTGTCCCAGCGCAATGTGAACAGCTGCACAGCGCTGGTTTTCAGCCAGTCCCTCTCTTAACAAAACATAACCAAAGTGCAAGGTACCACTGTAAATTTTAACAAGTAAGAAACTTATTTTCAATTACAGTATCGAGGCACCGTCATGGCGGCTACAATGGCTTCGGCATCAATCGTCGCTTTCCTCCAAATGTTATTCTTCAAACCGCTGGCCAATTCCATGGGTGTGCATGTGGCATTTTACTTTTTTGGAATCATATGTTTAATCGCTGCAGTTTATGTTATCCTAGTACTTCCAGAAACAAGAATGAGAAGTGTTCAAGAGATACAAAATAAATTGAAGACCAAAAAAGAGAAAGAAGAAGAAGAGGGAAGAGTATTAGAAGAGAAAGGCGTAACTAAAGAGATTTGTTGAAATGTACTAGCTTATTTTGATTTAGAGAAAATTTTATTATGAAAATTTATGAATTGATGTCACTTAATTATTTATTAACAGTTAGAGTACTTGTTTTTTATGTGAAAAAACATCAGTCTGTGCAACAAATAAATTTTTATAAAAAATATATATACAGAGGGAGACTTTGTACAAAAGTCGATTGCTTGGGTACCCCTGTCCCATTCGTGTTTCTACCGTGAAGCAGCTGTATTTGCGTGACCTCTAAAATTATCAATGTTTCTCTACTATATTATGCATGTCATTAACCTTCCTTTTGAATTACTCTTATTAAAAAAAAACGCATTAAAATCTGTTGCGTAGTTTTAAAGATCTAAGCATACATCGGGACAGACAGACAGAAAGCGACTTGTATGCTATGTATACGAAGTATGTTACTAAAAAATAAATATCAAATATACATAGCGACTGATTTTTTTATTTACATTTGAGATAACTTCATGTAATGACGCGATGAGAGTACAATGACACCTTGTATTATTTCATCATGACTTCGTACTATATCTTTCTTTATTATAACATACTACGTATTGAAAGATTGCCAATGAAATCACCAAAAAATCCAGGTAAGTGCATGTTTATCTTTGATGGTTACGTACCTAAATATTTTTTTAGCAATTTTGAATGGCAAACAAACAGTACCATGGACATAACAGAGTATACTGTTTTGCCCATGATACCCCCCATGTGTTGCCATTCCTGAGGACTCAGGTGTTATTCCTCTGTACCCAGTAAATTCACTGCCATATCCCAACCTTTAAACCGAAACACAGACATGCAAACACAACTGCTTCACGATTGAAACACGAATGCCACAGAGGTGCCCAAGCAAACGACTTTTGTACCGTCAGCTTATTTGCCATTCTAAGTTGCATAAAAAAAAAAACATTTAAAAATAACTGAAACTTTTTTTATTATTATTATTGAAAGGCATGCTTTTTACAGGTAGTAAAACCTGTGACACTGCGACCTTTCATGATCTTTTATCTTCTAAAACTCTGTTAAGAGACTCTGTTAAAAATAACCTTAAATCAACATTCACGTTTATTACTTATTTTTTATTACACTCATTACATTGAGAAGATAAATGTGAAGCTGCAGTTATAAAATAAATTATGTAAACATAATAAATATTATATAATAAATCTTGTTGTATGTAATTATATTTATACAATATAATTTAATACAATAATACAAATCCATCGTTGACATCAATTGACATATTTATACTAGAGAAACCTTGCAAACATAGTTCTATGTGTATTTATACACAGGTACAGGTATAAATATTTACAGATTATCCTTTTCTTATATTACTATGCATATGGTCTTGGCATAAAAAGGGATACCCCTTCTTTTCCCGTGGGTGTTTTAAGAGGCAATTAAAGGAACTTATTGGTCGAGGGATAGGCAACAAGTGTCCCTCTTAAATCATTACCAAAATTTACCTCTTAAAAATTACCAAAGGGAGACTTTGTAAAAAAGTCGATTGCTTGGGTACCTCTGTCCCATTCGTGTTTCAACCGTGAAGCAGCTGTGTTTGCATGGCTGTGTTTTGGTTTGAAGGGTGGGATATGGAGTGAATTTGATGGGGGTATCATGGGCGAAACAGTATACTCTGTTATGTCCATAGTACAGCTCATGTCTATAGGCGACTGTTACCATTTTCCATTATGTGGACCGTCAGCTTGTTTGCCATTCTAAGTTGTATAAAAAAAAATTAACTGCGGTTACTAACCTACCTGCCAAGTATAGCAACTACTGGCTAAATTCTACTCTATGGGGGAGGCCTATGTTCAGCAGTGATCATTTAAAGGCTGATGTGATGATGATGACAATCCATTTCTTATATTGTCATATGGTCCTGGGATAGAACAGAACACCCCTTCCTTTCCCGTAGGTGTTGAAGAGGTGATTAAGGGAGCTTAATAGCCGCGGAATAGACAACAGCGTCCCTCTTAAAACATCACCAAAGTTGAACTGCGATTCCCAACCTGTCTTTTATTTGTAACTTAGAATGGCAAACAAGCTGACGGGCCACCTGATGAAAAGAGGTAACCGTTGCCTATAGAAATGAGCAGTACCATGGACATAACAGAGTATACTGTTTCGACCACGATACCCCCCATGCGTAGCCATTCGTGAGGATTCAGGTGTAATTCCCCTGTACCCTGTAAATTCACAGCCAATTCTGCCAATGCCTCCTTATATTGGAAGTCTATATCCAGCAGTGGACAGTTAATGGATCATATTAATAATAATAAAATATATTTAACATTACAGGAAAGCAAACTGTAACAGCACAATGGTGTATGTTGCAACAAGGCAGCCCAACCTCGTAGGCAATTTTCCATTTATCGGGAACATGCCAAAAGCTGTAAGTTTTTGGAACTCAACGTTGTATGTCCGGCTGATATTTTTGCAAAGTCGCTTACCGTCATCTGGAAAACAATTGGAATATTTCAAAATTAACTACTTTTTTTTATACCACGACGGTGACAAACAAGCATATAGCCCCTCTAATGGTAAATAATCGCTGCAGCCTATGAATGTTTGCAAAAATAGGGATATTTTTGTGTTCATAGGCTACAGTGACCGTTTTGTCAGTTATCAAAATGGAAAACCTGATCGAAATAAATATACTCGTAGATATCTGACAAGTATAGGCGATATCTAAATAGACAATAATCTTTTTTTTACCATCAATGTAGAGAGGAATCCAATATATAGATATCGGAGCCATGCTGATATTATCCATGTTTGGTCTTTAGGAAAGGCAATTTATGAAGCTAATCATTGTATTCTATGATATGAGGTAAAGCTATCAGTTTGTTTGATATTTAAAGTTTTTATGCATACTAGAAATGTTACGTGCGCGTTGATGATCCTGCAAAAATCTTAGACCCTTAAGATCCTTTTTAAAGAACTTCATACTGTAGTCTCTAGAAAAACCTCATCAGAGAGCTCATTCCATAATCTGAGAATTCACAGAAGAAAATCTCCTTAAAATGATAATGTAGGCGATTACATAGGTTCTAGCGTATAGAAATGAATTCTCTGATTATGTGTAATGATAAAAGGTGACTATAGACATCATTAAGAATAATTCCTAAAAATACAATCAGTTATATAAGCAATAGAACACACAAAGAAAGGCAATCTCGCCTTAGTCTTAAGGACTCGATACCGCCTGTGAGCTAGGATTGGTTAATAATTCTCATAGCCCGTCTTTGAACTGAATTAAAGAGAATTATAATATATGAGGATAATTTAAGTTGTATTAAAAAAGGTACTTGACTGACCTGAAATTTTATATTTAAGCATCATAACGCATATAGCATTTGCTTTATTTACTAGCAGATAAAATTTTTCACATTTTGCGCATAAATGGCTTAGTAATATGAAAGTCTTGAAGAGCCAACCGAAGACAAGAATTTTTGGCATAATACCCACAAACTGAAATCAAAGAAACATATTATTTAACCTAAACTTCGGATACTTTTAGATTTAGGTTTTCTTATAAGTTTAATTTCAATCATTGAGCAAGTTGTAAAGAATAAGCTTTTACCCGCGAATTCGTCTTCGTATCTCCTAGCGTCATGTACTGACGCGAATAAAGTTGCGAGTAAAAGCAACTCGTTTATAAATAACAAAGAATAAATGCCAACCAATCCAGAAAGTGGTTAGTATCTAAAATTAAGAAGAGTACTTAGAATAAGACAAAACCACGCTTTGGAATTAATTTCCAGCTGTGAAATATTCCGAACAGATACGACATCGTTACTTTTAAAAAAAGAGGATATTTCTTCTAAAAAGGCCGGCTGCACACTTGCAATGCTTCTGGTGGTGCTTGATCTGGTATGGTGAACTGTATGCTCAAGAATTTTCGAAACTAAGCCTAATAAGGCAATGTACTAAAGTTTTAAAATTGAAACATTAGTATATCAGACTAAGAAAGCTAGTAAATTTGTAATTTTGTGACTTATGATCTCATTTAGAATTACTATACAGTACCTATTAGAAGTGTTAGAATCTTGCCGTGTTGTCCCGACATAGGATGGGCCATTCCTTCTTTTCTCGCGGCTGTCTTATTAGGCGGCTAATGAAACTTATTGGTCGAGAGATGGACAGCATTGTCCCTCTTAAAATATCTACTAAAGTCTAAATGCAGTTATCGATTCAAGCCAAGCGTGGCAACTACTAGCAAACCTCCTTTCATAGAACCCTATTTTCAGTAGTGGGCAGTTAATAGCTCATATAAGGATGTTCAGAAGTACCTGATTTTCCATTTATACTACTATCATTCAATTTAAATATTAAAATAAATCTAACAGTTATCAACTTACATCGTTTAATACTTCGTCTTTGAATACATCAATCATAACTTGTACGTATACCAACGTTAAAGCAACGATTTTCATTGTCTGGAAAAATATCTGCAAAACACATTTCCCAATTAGAATTAATAAATATAATATAAATATTTTTTTCTTATGCAACTTAGAATGGCAAACAAGCTGGCCTACCTGATGGAATGTGGTGACCGTCGTCTATAGACATGAACAGTAACATGGACATAACAGAGTATACTGTTTCGCCTATGACACTCCCCCCCCCCATGCGTTACCATTTCTGAGGACTAAGTTATTATTCCTCTGTACCCTGTAAATTCACAACCATATTTCATCTATAAACCGAAATATAGCCATGCGAACACAATTGCTTCACGGTGAGAACACGAATAGGACAGAGGTAGCCAAGCAAACGATTTTTGTCCCTTTGGTGTAGCTGCAGAAATATGCAAAATTCATAATATTGTCAATAATGTTGCAAGAACAAATGTCGGTTATAACGATATGTTAGCTTATTAATCTTTCTCTTATTAATATAATAATTATAATTCTACTGATAAAATAATAAAATTATGTCTAGATAATGTCTGTGCATAATAGATATTGAAGAAAAATGGATATAAAGAATCTAAATAAGAGAAATAGAGTCCAAGATAATAATTTTAATAAATTTTGTCTAAAATCTGTTATATTTTTCATTAATACACTTTTAATACACTTTTGATATTCACACGTGCGAAGTAGTCTTTTTATATTAAATAATAGTGATAAATCAATTTATATTATTAAATCACCAATTTTAGGTGTATTAACAGCAGTATAATATAAAACAATTACTGTTTAGTAAAAAGTAAAAATGAATTCAACTTACAGAGAATTGAAACATAGATTTGAATATATTGAAAGCATTCAAAAGGTTTAGGTAACTTTGATACATTTCAATCCAATGCAATGATATGTCCATATTTACATATTTGCTTTGATGTAAACAACATTTGACGTTATAGATCCACAAATGTATTTCATATCCCAACAGCTTCATTAGCCCAATAGAATATAGCAAGTTTGCATCAAAATATATTAGAGTGAATACACGTAAAGTTTGATATATATTCCACTTCGATCCAAAGTAAAAGTAATGTAATAAAATGAAAAAGAAGTACAATACAAACATTAGTGATGTATTTAGCCAATTTGATATAATAATGCTACGAAAACTCTTATCAGGTGTAAAACATATAGCATTATGAGCTTCTTGGATGTTCAAAACGAGTTTGACGTTATTTCTAGTTTGTATTATATTGGTACAGCAAACAATTAGTAGACCAAAGATGTTGACGATTGAAACAACAAATAAGAATAACTCAATTTCAGTATTCTCTATGAAGTTTCGATTAGATGGCTCACGTAATGCAATCAAATGTATGCCAAGAAAGAAACAAGTTCCAAATATCGACAGCATATGATTTAAATATCTGTTTTTAACAACAAAATCCTTTAAAATAATGAAACGTGAAAGGAAAAACATCGATTGTACTCTATTTAAAGAAATCAAAACCGCTTTAAATTCTTTACTAATCTTATTATGTTTGACTGTATATTTTTTTGGTCGTATTTTATTCATTTTATGATAGAATTCTTCGCGATTATTGAAACGTTAGTTGCCTTGTCCGTACCGAATAGAAAATAGTATAATAAGAGCTCAACACTCGATTTTAATGTTTTTTTCTTGACCTTGATTTAAAAATGTTATTTACAAATTAAATTTCATTAATGGATTTACATAGACACATTTATGCACATAAATGATTAATGGATTGGACTACAGCTAAGTAAATTACATTACATGTAGTTATTAATTTATCTAATCAATATAAAATCTAATTCATTAATCTTCTGTTTACACCATATTATGCTTTTACAGTTGTAAAGGCCAAAGTGGGAGTAATACAATCGTCATGGAAGACAACTTTTTATCAATGTTTAAATTAATCTACTATATTCATACATGTTTGTGTCAAAGGAAATATAACATTAGTGATAATCACGTCACTCCAATTACGATTAAAAATATAATACAGATACTTTTAGCAAATATCATGATAGCTATGTTGTTTTACTTAACAATAAAATTTGTATCCTTTGGTGAACTCGAATTATTAAGAATTATTTATTTCTTCACATACTTCCAGTACATATTCAACTTTGTGTGTGTCAGTGTATTGAATATTATAAAAAAGCATGAGAACATTAAGCTGATACAGAAGCTGCAAATAATTGACCAACATCTTCAAACCAAGGAACACACTGACGCATTAAAGAAACTGTCTTTAAGTTTTTGTTTAAGTATCTGTTTGTTTTATGTAAGCCTTGTATCGTTAAAGATAATTTTAGATCCATTTTGGAATTTAATAAGAGGAATATTTATAAGTACTACAGTGATATTCGACTTGGAATTAATATATGTGTTACTAATAGTGACATTCATAGCATACAAACTAGAGAGATGGAATCAAATAGCAAAACTTATGGTGGTACACGTCGATAATGAAGAAGTTATGGATGATTATGCTAAAAAAATGTTTTCAGTATTCGAAGAGATAATTGAAGCAATAAATTTGACAAAAAAGATATTCCAACCAATTGTAAATACGTGTATTTTATAACACATACGTAATGCCTAACTAAAACTGATATCCAGTATTAATTGTTTTTCTTTTTTTCAGATTCTAATTTATTTTGTAACAACATTTTTTCAATCTCTGCTTTATATAGAGATTCTTTTAATCTGGATTAATAGTCAAATGGTATTTTTTTTTTTATTAATTAACTTGATTAGAATTTAATAATCTCTAATATATAAAATTGCCGTGTGGTTCCGGCGTATCTTACTTTCCCGTGGGTGTCGTAAGAGGCGACTAAGGGACGGCGCGAGATGGGCAGCAACGCCCCTCTTAGAATATCTTAGAGATATTCTAAGAGCCTAATAATAAGCCTAACTGTGATTGCCAACCCGCCTACCAAGCGACTACAAGCAACTATCTAAGAAACTTACTAAAATCCCGTCCAAAAAAAAAAAAGTTTAAGTCGTACAAGTATTTGAGATATTGTATAAACCAGAGGGAGACGTTGTACAAAAGTCGATTGCTTGGATACCTCTGTCCCATTCGTGTTTCTACTGTGAAGCAGTTATGTTTGCATGGCTGTGTTTCGGTTTGAAGGGTGGGATATGGCGTGAATTTACTGGGTACAGAGGAATAACACCTGAGTCCTCAGGAATGGCAACGCATGGGGGTATCATAAGCGAGACAGTATACACTGTTATGTCCATGGTACTGCTCATGTCTATAGGCGACGGTTACCACTTTCCATCAGGTGGACCGTCAGCCTGTTTGCCATTCTAAGTTGTATAAAAAAAAAAGGAGACTGAAAATTTCAATAGTTTGTTTAAAGCATTTCCATTAGCAATAAGTAGCTTGATTACTCTATTTTTACTTTTAGATTGATATACAATTAATTTCATCACACACGGTCGGAGTACTTTTATGGACATTGAAGGGAATGATAATTGAATCAGCTTTGTGTGTATCATCGAATATGCTTTACCAAAGTATAACTGCTTGCCAGATATCTATGTGCTCTGGTGTTAGAAAATCCCGTAAGTAATCATTAAAAAAAAAAAACTAATAATTAATTTTAATCGGTTTTCTCTGCTTATACTGCAAGGGAGGTGATGTAAATTAATGAATGAATGAGTACACTTTATTTGCATTATACAATATAGGGAATAAATAGATAGATATTATAATAAAAATAAATTTTATTTATTTATGGCAATAAACAGTCATTTAAAAAATATTAATACAATGAGCATTACAGTTTTACAACAATAGACCTTATAGTGCCAATGACAGTTTTTTTTTTTTAAATATAAAGGTTTTATTCATGAAGTCCCATGGAAACATTTTTTTTTATACAACTTAGAATGGCAAACAAGCTGACGGGCCACCTGATGGAAAGTGGTAACCGTCGCCTATAGACATGAGCAGAAACATGCAAGAAATTTAATAACAAATCCAATACAATTAAATATAAAAATGCATTTGTAAGTTAATTTTAATTTACATGCAATCACTTCACAATAAGTCCTAAATAACATTTTAATTATGCACTAACAAGATTTGATAGCTGTTTATATATAGTTTTTTTACTATGTAGTTTATAACATTGCAATTTAATAATATCAGTGTAAGTAACCTCTTATTAGAGAAATCTCTTATTAGAGAAATCTCTTATTAGAGATAAGCTCGCCTTTGTACATTATGTTTATAATGAATTGTAATTAACAGTATGTTTTGTGTACAATAAAGAATAAAGAATAGCCTAAAATAGTTTTGCATTGAATATACTATTTTGATTTTTAAAATTTCTATGAGAATATTAAAATAGTCAGTGTTTAGTAAATTTGCTACTATATGCCCATTAAATCAAAACATAATATGTAAATGAGGCTTCTTGGTAACAGAAGCTGTAAAGGTTAATATTTGTATTGATAAATATCTGGATATCCCTTAATGATTACTTTAATAACAAATAAACTAACAGAACACTCAATAACCATCTTACATTTTTCTATCTCTCATCAACCTTTTACAAAACAACTCCAAGTGTTGCCATCTACCATAACAGAAGCAATAGATAAGTGTATAAATAATACAAGTCTGTAATGTATATACTAACTTTATTCATAATACATTACACATTATGTATAAATAAATGCATTTTCTACTGAATTTATCATGGGTAGTGCTCTGAGGAATTGTTCGTATTGCTACCTGCTGCTGATTTTCTTCACCATACAACCCGCTGCAAACTAAAGTCCCATCCCAACCATCTGGATGAGTGGCGGTTCTCCACTGTGCATTTTTTAAGGCACTCTCTTTCATGTATAACTACTCTTTGGCATCAACTTCTAGCAGCAGTATTTCCGAATCGATGTGATATCATAACCTTCAAGAAAAGAGCATATTCCTTTTTAAAAGGCCGGCAGCACACCTCCGATGACTTTTGTGTTACGGGTGATTATGGACGGTGGTCACTTACTATTAGATGAGCCGCATGCTCGTTTGCCTCCTGTGTATATTTAATATATTTCTAACTATAAAAAAATAAATTTCTACTTTCCAGAAACCGTACAACAATTCACAAAAAACATATTAAGGACTCGAAGGGTTAATTTCAGCAAAATCAGTGCATTCGGTATCTTCAATGTGGATGCAGCATTGCCACTACGCATGGGCGCATTGATAACTACATATACAATTGTATTGTTACAATTTGCTTTCTTATGAACAAACGTTCATACCTTTTTTATTTGCAGAATATAAATGTTGATAACAAATAGACATTTAAAAATCGTACCAATAATAAACGTGGGTTTCATTACGACAAGCTTCTACCTAATTTCTGATTGAATTCAATAGAAACTGTAACGAAGGGGCATCTTTATCAAATCAAGCTTCTATATATATTACAGAGGTAGTTTATACCAGCAATTCCTAAAGTTGTTTCTACCGTGAAGCAGTTATGTTTGCATGACTGTGTTTCGGTTTGAATGGTGGGCATATGGCAGTGTATTTATAGGTTATAGAGAAATAACATCTGAGTCCTCAAGAATAGCAACGAATGGGGGGTATCATTGGCAAAACAGTAAACTCTGCTATGTCAATAGTACTGCTCATGTCCATAGGCGACGGTTATCACTTTCCATCAGGTGGGCCGTCACTTTGTTTGCAATTTTCTCTCTTTTCATTTAAGAATTTCCACTTGTCGGTGCAACTAATACATGCATCTTCTTCCAGTCAGTTCTATCCCAAGCCATATCCTTGACCTCCCCATACGATATGACACCTAGTATTTCTTTTATATGTTCCGTGTAGTTATTCCTTGGTCTTCTTCTTTCTTTTTTGCCCTTTATTTTTCCTTCTAATCTGCTCTTTAAAAAATCTTTATGTCATTTAAGATAGGCCAGCATTTTTTGGTGTGTTGTGGCGGCACCAACCCTCTTGGATCTACTTGGAAAGTGAAACGGTGCCACTGTGTCGACGCAGGTGATTTTAAATTAAATTTCTTTCAACGAATATTAATTAAATAGGAAGTCGTTAAGGTAATAAATTTTATTTATCTTTAAATCGATAGATCTAATGGTGTCGTGGTCTTACAAGTGTATCACAAAACATTTTTGGTCTCTTCGGATAGATGAACTACGATCATTGTTTTAGAGAGCAATAATAAAGAATTTATTACTGACAACATACATTATATAATTCAACATTATATAACTTTATAAATATGACATTTATTTGTGACTATTTTAATAATATTATGATCAAAATGTTTGAGAATCAAGAACATAATGCAGCTTATTATCAGAGGAAACATAATACTGAAGTGCTTCTTGACAACATTTTGGACGAAGACTTCCAAAAGATGTTACAACCGTTGAATTTCTTACAAAACTTATGTTTCTACTTTAAATATCATATCCAGGATAATTTCATAACTGCTAATGGGAAACAAAATAATTATATCTCCATTATATCTTTAGAATGGCAAACAAGCTGTCAAATTAGATTAAAGAAATTCATTTATAATGGAACGATATGAGTAAAAACAACTCAAGTGAAGAATGCTTGAATACAGTTTCAGAATCCTAAGTTTAGAAGCTAGGCTAAAACTCTATCATTTGTCTGGAGCATTTAAAAATGATCTTCACTTGTTTCATGCATTAAAAGCCCGTAAATTCGACGTCCAGTAAACTTTTTTTTACAACGCATAGCTCAAATATTATGATTTCATTTGTTTCATGCATTAAAGGCCCGTAAAGTCGACGTCCAGTAAACTTTTTTTTACAACACATAGCTCAAACATTATGATTATGATCAGAGGCATTGCAAACGTGCTGCTGGCCTTTTACTACGTAAGAGAATATTTCTAAAATAATATATTATATTTCTAAAATAAGAGACTTAAAAATCCTTGGCATCGATGATAAACCCTCGTATGACATATAGTATTTTTATTTATTTATTTAACTCTTTATTGCACCATAAATAAAAATATACAATGACAAGTGAATAATTCAAGTGAAATACAGTAACATAAATACAGATTGAAATATACACATAAAGGTACAAAAGGCAGTCTTATCGCTAGGAGTATCTCTTACAGACAACCTTTGGTTAAAGGAGAACAGATAGAAAAGGACAGGTGACGCAAGAGTGAAATAATAATTTTTCGTGCATAAAATACAAAAACATGTAATGCACAAAAATATCAAATATATATAATTTCATTATAAACATACACATATAAATACATACATAGCACACACAAGGAAATATAACAAATCTAGTCCAAAAATTACAAATGAATGGAAAAGAGTAGTAGTAATAGCTATAAGTTCAATAAAAGTAATAAAAAAAGTGAATTAATTACATTTAAAATGAAGTATTGTAAAATATAAAAAAATATACTGTAACATATTTTGAAAGAGTTTGCGTCAATGGGTTGCGAATAGAAAGATATGGAAATTGTCGCATAAGACAGCAAACTATGGAAGTTAAAATACGTCAGAGGAATACTACCACTGCTTAATGTTTTGCTATGATAACGACAGTGTCGTACATAGATGCTATTTATTTATATATTTAATAAGGTTCACATACAACTTTTACATTTTACATGCAACTAACATGCATTACTGCATACTAGATGGCATTGTAATCATTTTAAAACTCGATAGTAAAATAATAATTCTTATTAATTATCGCCTGTAAAGGTTTTTTTTTATTTCATACATGGTATATCATCTCCTGAGTTATACAGTTTTATACGACCACCATTTATTAAAAATATTTTCTGTAATTTAAATAATCTGCAAAAGAAGGATTTTTTAAATTCGTCAGATTTTTTTGTGACCATTTTTCATTGCCAATTCTACTAATTTTCTTAAATGTTTTTATAATTGATTGATATTAGTACTATTTTAGTTTTCTGACCATTAAATAAAACATGAAAATGGAATAAATGATTGAATTGAATTGATATAATTAAGTATCAGAGTCAGTTCCGAATCAGATGATTTAAATCTCACATAAAACACATTCTTTGCAAGAAGACTTACCATAATATAGACTAGAAGAGTTTTTTAATGATATATATATATATATATATATATATATATATATATATATATATATATATATATATATATATATATATACTTTGTACAAAAGTCGATTGTGTACCTCTGTCCCACTCGTGTTTCAACCGTGAAGCAGTTGTGTTTGCATGGCTGTGTTTCGGTTTGAAGGGTGGGATATGGCGTGAATTTACTGGGTACAGAGGAATAACACCTGAGTCCTCAGGAATGGCAACGCATGGGGAGTACCATTGGCGAAACAGTATACTCTGTTATGTTCATGGTACTGCTCATGTCTATAGGCGACGGTTACCACTTTCCATCAGGTGGGCCGTCAGCTTGTTTGCCATTCTAAGTTGTATAAAAAAAAAAATATATAAAATTATATTTTTCATATTATTTTAATTTGATAATACAATTTTTTATTATTGTTTTTACAATAATATGGAACCCTTAAAACGCGACATCTACTCACACTTGAAAATATATAATTAATATGGATTATTGAATAAACAGATGCCTAATGTGTGATAACAAATTGTCAACAACATGGTATTGATCAATTTCACAATAGTCGCAAGGTCTACAGTTGTTTCTTCTAGTTTCTTATTACTCAACTGTGACAAATGTAAAATTATTGTGTAGTTGATTAAATGGAAAAAATAAATAAATATGTAAATCAAATTTTTAAAACGTGTTGCAGAGCGAATCAAATAAAATAAGATTATTTACTGTTCACAATTTGTGAAAGTGTACAAATATTTGGAAGATAAAAAGGCACAGAAATTATACTATCTAATGTAATTATAATTACGAATGAAAACTTTAATTAAAACATTGTGAAATATATTTACAAATTATTATATTATTTTAATTTTCAGAGAAATAGCTACAACGATTAAATTTATTCACAACGAATAAATAATAATGAAATAATGAAAATTTTATTAACATAATAATTATTGTGAAATGAATTGCTTGCACAATTTAAAATAATAATAATAGATAAATAAAAAATTTAATAATATACTCAAAATATATTTTGAAAGAAAGTGACGGAAGGATGTGATATAAATTTATCAAAATGTATTTTAAAAAGAAATAGTATTATGCATTATATCCATTTAATTTTATCTAAATGAGTTTTTGCAACATAGAAGCATTACAAAACAATATATTTACTGTTAATTCATTTTATAAAAATACTATAGTAAATAAAATAAATAATAATGACAATAAAATATGAACGTAACGAAATTTTATTGAATAATATTTTGGATAGAGATTTTCAACGAATGCTGTTACCTTTAAATTTAATGCAAGGCTTTTTTCTCAGTCCAAAATTTTACATTCACGACAATTTTGTGACGCCCAATGGAATTTTACACAATTTTGTAATATGTATGGGCTTTGTTTTTTACACTGTCATGTATATTTATCGAACAGTAAAATTGTCTAATTATAATACATTTTTTATAATATTCGATTTTATTTACTACACACTAGGGTTTGCGTTGAATGCTATTTGCAATATTATATACTCGAAAGATAATGTGGAATTATTGGTGAGGACAAATTTCACATACTTATACCAAATTGATAAACACAATAAATTGAAAGATATATATAAATGGAATTGGATAAATGTATTATGGTTATTTTTAATTATTGTATATTTAATGATATATATGTTTTGTTATATTGGAAACGTGACGATTGTAGATTTATCGTGTGTAGCTATTGTAACTAGTATTGATATACATATAATATATAATACATGTATTACAAAGATTATACGAAGAGAAATTGATATATGGATCACAGATGTTGCATCGAATGGCAATATGAATGATAAAAAGTATTGGAATAAAATGCTCGACGTGTATAAAGATATTCTGAAAGCATTCCGTATACAGGGAAAAATATCTCAGGCGCAGGTAAATTTTCATTTTTTTTTTTGTATGTTATTCTACAAAATATTAATACAGAATTGAAGGAGATGTTGCGTAATTATCTTAATCAATATATTTTGCATATATATTTTGGATAGTATTGAATAAATGAACTATAAATATTCTAAAAATCATTACACAAGATGTTAAAAATGTGACCGTTATGAAAACTTAGCATAATATAGAAATACAGAAGAATTTTATGTTAAATTTTTTTATACAACTTAGAATGGCAATCAAGCTGACGGCCCACCTGATGAAAAG